ACTACAGGTGAGGAAACAGGCTGAGGGAGGTGGAATGGCTAGTTCAAGGCCGCAGAGCTGGTGACCAGCATCAGGCGGACGCCACGTTCAGGGCCCTCACCGGCATCCAAAAACGCCTCTGCTCTGCCTCCCCTAGGTGAGGCACAGGACTCACACGAGTGTCCTGGCCAGTCCTCTGTATGTCCCCACCCACACACAGGTTCGAATCCCGGGAGTCTGCAACTCCAAACACCCAACACCTCGGGATGGACAGCTGGGGTGCTCCCGACACCTTGCTTGGCCAAAGTGTGTTCGGGTCCCGGTGGGAAAACGGTGAAGTCAGGGAAGGAAGCGCCTCCCAAGAGAAGGCCCGAAGCCCCCTCGCAGCCTGGTGCACCCCTGAGTCGCAAGGGGGAGCTCCAGTCGCATGCCCCGCCCAGCTGCCACACCCCCCTCCCCAGTCCAGTGGCTGCACCTTTTCGGACCTTTCCTAGGAGACTGTTTGCCACGATCACTATGTGCCCAGCAGGCCGGCCCTGCCCTCACATCGGGCCCCAGGACTTTGCACTCACCGGGCACACCTCTGAGCAATTCCTCCTCTGTTCCCGCTCCGTCTGGGACGCTCCTGTACAAATGCCGTCTGGCCCTGAGCACTGTCCCAGCCAACTCTGAGGCCATCACCAGCCCGTTAGGGAGCAGGTGTTACCTCCAAAGAGGCGTTCATTTATCGAGCAAACCTGTCGTGCCACGCGATCCTGACATCACCCCCATTCTACCGATGAGGAAACTGAGACGCAAAGGCCCCCTGCTAGTACACAAGACTAACCCACGTGGTGTGGCCCAAGAAAGGTACGTCCAAGTTGTGACCCTTGGAATCTGTACGCGGAATCTTATTTGGAAATAGGGTCTTTGTAGATGCAGTTACGGATCTCAGGATGAGGTCAGCCATCCTTGAAAGAGTGGGCCCTAAATCTGGTGTCCTTATCAGAAGAAACACAGAGACACTGGGGTGAGAGAAAGTGAAGACAGAGACAGAGACTGGAGCTTTGCTGCCATAAACCAAGAAACAACTAGAACGTGCAAGAGGCAAGCAAGGGTTCTCCCCTCGGACATCTGGAAGGAGCGTGGCCGTGTCGACACCTTCGTTTCAGACTTCTGGCCTCGAACTGAGAAAATGTATAAAACAACATTCCTATTGTTTTAAGTCATGAGGTTTGTGGTAATATGTTTTGGCAGCCCTGGGAAATGAATACACCCAGCTTTGGTCACCTCCAAAAACCGTGCTCTTAAACCCAAGCCAAAGTTACTTATGCATAAAGACAAAAAAAAAAATTCTTTCAGACCCCTGAAAATATATAGTATCTGAGACTGAGGATCTCTGTTTGAGACTTGTGGACTTTCTCCTCTTTAAGAAAGTTTTAGTTACAAATTACCTCTTTTTGTTTTAATAAAAATAATTGCTGGCCGGGCGTGGTGGCTCACGCCTCTAATCCTAGTGCTCTGAGAGGCCAAGGCAGGCGGATCGCTCAAGGTCAGGAGTTCGAAACCAGCCTGAGCAAGAGTGAGACCCCGTCTCTACTATAAAAATAGAAAGAACTGAATTGGCCAACTAAAAATATATAGAGAGAAAAAAATTTGCCAGGCATGGTGGCACATGCCTGTAGTCCCAGCTACTCGGGAGGCTGAGACAGGAGGATCACTTGAGCCCAAGAGTTTGAGGTTGCTGTGAGCTAGGCTGATGCCACGACACTCTAGCCTGGGCAACAGAATGAGACTCTGTCTCAAAAAAAAAAAATTGCTAACCTGCTCCGTATCATTCCACTGTTAGTATATGTGCTGCCGAAGCGAGCACTTCAAATTATCTCTTAAAACAGAAGTGTTGTCTTTATAACCGGTAATGCATTCAGGATTATCGGCAAAACAAAAACACAAAATATAAAAATTCTCCAGGGGTAAGATGATAAGAACATGGGAAATTGGGCGTGGGGTATACAGGAACTCTCTGTACTATGTTTCCTGGAAATCTACAAATCTAAAACTATTCTAAAACTCTTTTTTTTAAAGTTTTTTTTTTAAAAGATAACTAATCTCCCATCCAGCCCATGTGAAAAAAAAAAAAAAAAGATAACCAACTCCAACTGTCCTGGAACCCCTCTAAGGATAAATAAACCTTGGGACCCCAGTTTGAGAAACGATGCCCTACTTTGTTGTCTGCCAAATGAATGGGCTTGCTTGTGATCTGGGGTCCTGCTGAACTCCGAGATACCCTTCTTGCCTCCCCTCATCTGGTCCATGAAGAGCTCAGCTCTGTCCCAGGAAAAAGATGCATCTCACTTGGGTGACAGCCACAATTCCTTTTAGTCCATGATTTCAAAGTCGAGGTGCCAGGAGAACCCCATGTGAACCAAGTGCTCCCCACGCTTCCCTTGGGATCAGGCCCCCTTCCCAAAGTGGCCAAAATTCACACGGGGCCAGAGGCAGCAAAGGCCTCCTGAGTGGCTCCCTAGAGCATCGGCGCACGAAACCCTGCGAGACAAAGCCGAGTGAAACAGAATAGCAAAATGTGCACGAGGAATCTGAGAGTGCAGATAAGAAAAGAAAGAGTAACAAGAGAAAGAAAAAGGATGAACTACAAAGACTCAGAGGGGACTTCGGCAAGCACATTTGTGGCTCCCTCCCCCCCCACTGAAATGTCAGTTTTGAAAAGCAGCTTTGGAAAATGTAACTAGCTGCTCACATGGCCACAGCGAAGACAGGAGGAGCGCGGCGTGGCGAGGGAGGTGGCCGTGCTACCTTCCTTGGGAGCCGGGCACCAGGAAGGGGCCCCAGCCTTCCACGGTCCCACAGGGCGCACCCCCGTGGCTCCCCCCATCCCCGAGCCGCCCGACCCCCGGGTCTAGAAGTTTCCCACTCGGGGGTCCTGCACCCCAAGCCGGGCGGCAGGGTGGAACCCGGTCCTCCCGGGCGCTCGAAACTAGGAACCACTTTCCAACTGTCCTCAGCCCTCCCGGGGGTCCCCGGAGTGGCCACAGGCCGCCCGCACCCCGCCCTGCGCCCCGCCAAGACGGCCACACCCGCCCCCAGACCCCGGCTCTCGCGCACCCCGCCCTCCGCGCCCCACGCCGATCCCACCCTCGGCCCCCCGCTTCCTGCCCCCACCCCTCCCCCATCGCGGCCCCTCACTCCCCAGGTCCCGCTCCCGCTGGCCGGGCGCCTCGCCCTCCGGCCACCCCGCGGCCCTCGCCCCTGCCGTCGCTCGGCCCGCGCCCCGCGCCCGCCCGGCCCGCTCCGCCGCGGGACCGCGCCCGCCCGCGCCCGCCCCTCCCCGCCGCCCGCCGGGCCGCCGCGTGCGCAGCCCCGCCGCGCGGCCCTCAGCCCGCCCGCACTCACGGCTGTAGAGGGCGATGCCCGCCGCGTCCGGGCCGGCGCGCACCTCGAGGCGCAGCGCCTGCTGCTCCGCGTGCCGCTGGATCTCGCCGTTCGCGTCGCCGATGGTGAGGAGGCGGGCGCCGGGGAACACGGACACGGCCGTGCAGGGCCCCGCGCTGCCCGGCCCCGCCGCCCCCGCGCCGCCCGGCCCGGCCCTACCGCCGCCGCCGCCGCTGCCATCTTAGATCCGGCTCCAGCCCGCCGCCGCCCCCCGCCGCGCCGCCGCGCCGCGCCGGCCAGGCCGCCGCCGCTGCCGCCGCCGCCGCCGCGCGCAGGCCGAGGCGAGGCCGAGCCGACCGGGCAGCGCCGCCTGCGGCCACGCGTCGCCTCGCCGCGCCGCCGCCGCGGCCCGCCCCTGGGCGCAGCGCCCCCTGCCGGCTGCCCTGGGCGAGGGGAGGGAGCGAGCGCGCCGGGGGCAGGGCCGGCCCCGCCCCGCGCGAACGGTCGCCGCTTTGTGAGGTGACTCCACCGCCCCGGAAAGGCGGGGGCGGGAGCGAGCGCCGGGGGCGGAGCTCGGCCGCGAGGGCACGCCCCCCGGAGGCCTGGGCCCCGCCCCCGGCCCCGCGCCGCAGCAACGGCCGCGCTTTGTGAGGCGGAGCGGTGGCCCGGGGAGGGCGGGGGCGGGGCTAGGCTGAGCGGACACGCCGCGGGCCCCGCCCCGCGCAAACGTCCGCGCTTCGCGAAGCGGTCCCCGGGCTTGCGGGACGCTGTGGCGGCTCGGACACGCCCCTCGGGGCGGGCTCCCCTGGGCCCCGCCCGGCTTTGTGAGGCGGCCGGCGGAGAGGCGGGGCCCAGCCGGCGAGGCCACGCCCCCATACCTGTCCTGCTCCCTCCCCCTGGGACGCGCTTTGTGTGGCGCCAGCTCTGGGGCGGGCCTGAGCGAAGGGCGTGGCCAGGGCTGGGACACGCCCCCGGCCTGGGGCCCCGCCCAGCTGCGAGCAGTTTGAGACCCGCCCCGCCTCTGAGCACAGCCTGAGCCCGGTCCCAAGGTCCCTCCCCAGCGCTCAACCGCCCCGCTCCTCCTCTCCGTCCCGCCTGCCCCTTCCCCACCCTCAACCCTCCACTGTTTCCTTGGACACAAAAATCCTTCATCCCTCCCCTCTGAGCCTCTCCTGTACCCCTCCTTCCCCCGGTTTCTCGCCCGTCCCCCAGAGATTGCTGGACAGTGAGTCCAGACTAGTCGTGTCCCTTTTGCCAACACACACACATCCATCTTCCCCCCGAGGGCCCCTCCACTGTTCAAGGGCCCCATCCCTTCCTGGGGTCCCAAAGGGGCTCTCGGCCACTTCCACCTACCCCAGCTCTCATTCTTTCCTGGATGTCATTTACTCCTAACTCCTTAACGTGCCGGTGCCCCCGCGTCCCCATCATTCCACCTCCTGTACCCCCTAATGCAAGGGCCCTAGCAGAGACCCCACGGGGCACTGCCCCGCCCCCCTCCCCCACGGGCCTCCGCAAACGCCTCCTTGACCGCAGCTGCGGGGTGCGCCTCAAACGCAGTGAATTCACGCATGCCCCCCACCGCCCAGCCATCCAACAGTTGGACCCCAGAGGTGGCAGGCTTCAAGAGTTACACTCCATAGAGGCCTTGGGAACATACATGAACACGTGCTATAATGAATAACTTAGGCATGTCAGCAGGGCAGACACATGGGAAAACACCCCGGGGACCCTATGCTCAAAAAACCCAGTGGGGAAGAGGCAGGTGCCCAATCCCGTGCCGCTGGGAGTGGGGACCCTTTATGGCCCCGGGAAGGGACCCTGACATCTCCTTGTCTGCTGGTCCCGAGGAGCTGAAAATCCAAAGTGGGTCTTCCTGCTTTCTGTCCGGCCTGTGGCCCCCTCTCTCCCACTCCCCTGTGACAAAAGTCTCGAGGCCAGGGGTCCACTTCATCGCCTCGTTCCATTCCCTGAGAAAACAGCAGCCCAAGCCCCGCCAGAACTAGCTGGAGGGACCTCAGGCCCTGAAAGGCCGGGAGATGGAGGGGCCCCCAGTTCTCAGCCTCACTGGCAGGCCCGGAAGGTGCTGAACTCGGGGGGCTCGGGCGAGGACGATGTGGAGGTGGGCCTCTTCCGGGCTCCAGAGTGGCCGGGGATGACAGTGGTGCCTGAGCGAGCATCCGGAGTGGCTGAGTCTTCTTCTGAAGTCATTTTCTTTGTCCGTGCAAGAGAAAAGAGAGAGGACCAGGTGATCTGGGGGCTCAGGATGTCGTGTGTCCCCACTTTCTGAGCCTGGGACTCTCGTAGCCCATCAGGTCTCATCTCGTCCCGTCCCCCCCACACACCCACAAATGCCTGCCCTGGCCTTCTATTCTCCTGCCCTTCTCTCTGCCGTAGTAGAGAGTGGGGACCAGAGAGCCTGGGTTCAAATCCTAGTTCCATCACTTTCAGGCAGTGTGGCCTCGGTTGAGTGACTTAACATTTCTGTGCCTCAGTTTCCCCTTCTGCAAAATGGGGATAATCTTAGTACCAACCTACTAGGATTGCTGTGAGGCTTAAAGAAGTAAAAACAGAAAAAGCAAGTGGTACATCAGAAGCTCTATGTTAAGTGAACACAGCCATTACTATTATCTCCTTGGCTCCCATTCTGGGCTCCCTCAAAACACTTTCAAAAATCTACCCTCAGGCCGGGCACGGTGGCTCACACCTGTAATCCTAGCACTCTGGGAAGCCAAGGCAGGCAGATTGCTCGAGGTCAGGAGTTTGAAACCAGCCTGAGTGAGACCCTGTCTCTACTAAAAATAGAAAGAGCCGGGTGTGGTGGCTCACGCCTGTAATCCTAGCACTCTGGGAGGCTGAGGCGGGCGGATCATTTGAGCTCAGGAGTTCGAAACCACCCTGAGCAAGAGCGAGACCCCCGTCCCTACTATAAATAGAAAGAAATTAATTGGCTAACTAATATATATAGAAAAAAATTAGCCGGGCATGGTGGCGCATGCCTGTAGTCCCAGCTACTCGGGAGGCTGAGGCAGGAGGATGGCTTGACCCCAGGTTGAGGTTGCTGTGAGCTAGGCTGATGCCACAGCACCCTAGCCTGGGCAACAAAGTGAGACTCTGTCTCAAAAACAAATAAATAAATAAATAAAATAAATCTACCCTCAGCCAGGCACAGTGGCTCATGCCTACAATCCCAGCATTTTGGGAGGCAGAGGTGGGAGGATCACTTGAGGCCAGGAGTTTGAGACCAGCCTAGGCAACATAGCGAGACCCCATCTCTACAAAAAAACAGGAAAAATTATCCGGAGTGGTGGCATATGCATCTGTAGTCTCAGATACTCAGGAGGCCGAGGCAGGAGGATCACTTGAACCCAGGAGTTTGAGATTGCAGTGAGCTAGGATGATGCTACCGCACTCTAGCCTGGGCAACAAATTGACAAGGAGAGATGAACTTGCTAGAACTGAAGCCGGGCGATGGAGTGCAGGCTGGGTTGCATTCGCAGTCCTGCCTGTCCTTAGCTGAGTCACCCTCGTAAAGCCAGTTCACTATGCTGAGCGTCCTAGTTTGCAAAAAGAAAATTGTCAATCCCACCTCATAGGGCGTTATAAAGTTGAATATGGGGCCCTGGGCCAGGGCATGGTAAAAGCTGGAGACACATGAGCTACTTCGTTATCGACTCAACCAACTGCACAGCTTGTATGAAGCCTCAAAGGGGAACTAGAACTGAAAGCAGAGACTCAGATATTTGCGCCCCCGTGTTCGCCCCAGTGCCATTCACAACAGGCAAAAGGCGGAAGCAACCCAAGTGTCCAGCGACAGATGAGTGGCTCAACAAAATGTGGTCTGTCTATACGGTGGGATGTCATTTAGCCTTTAAAAGGTAGGGAACTCTGACACATGATACAACATGGATGAACGCTGAAGGTGTTTTATGTTGCTCTAAAGAACAATCTATAAAATCAAAAAAAAAAGAGAAGAGGGCCGGGCGTGGTGGCTCACGCCTGGAATCCCAGCACTCTGGGAGGCCTGTGTCAAAAAAAAAAAGAAGAAGAAGAAGAAGAAGAAGACGACGACGACATTCTATGCTAAGCGAAATGGGTCATCACAAAAGGACAAATATTGTATGACTCCATTTATAAGAAATGTCCAGAATAGGCAAACCCACAGACCCACAGAAAGTAGAATGGGGGTTCCCAGGGGCTGGGGGAAGGAGGAAGGAAGAATCAGTGTTTAATGGGTACAGAGGGTTATCAGAACTTATTCACATTAGTGTCACTAAAGTTGGTATTCAACCCCCCACTGCTAAATTTGACTGGCTATAAAAATAAATAAAGAAATAAAATAAAATAAAATAAAATAAAAAAATAATGGGTACAGAGTTTTATTTTGGGAAGATGAAAAATTCTGGAAATGGAGGGTCCTGATGGGCATACAACACGAACATATTTAATGACGCTGAACTGTGAGCTTAATATGGTTAGGATGGGGACAACCACTGTGCTCAGTAACAAGAAAAAATGGTTAAGACGGTAAATGTTTATGTTATGTGTATTTTATCACAATAAAATAAACTACAGCCCCAGCGAGGTGGCTCACGCCTGTGACCCCAGCACTTTGGGAGGCCAAGGCAGGGGGGCATTGAGCCCAGGGGTTCAAGTCCAGTCTGGGCGACAGTGAGACCCCATGTCTAATCTAAGAAAAAAAAAAAAACAAAGTAGAAACAACAACAAATAAATGCTTAAAAGGGGGGCAGGGGGGGGTCTCCAGGTTGGAATCCCGTGCGCACGCTGATGGGAGTTTCAGAGTCCGCCCTGCCCGCCGGGTTGCCCTCGCGCGCTCGGGATTTGCGGGCTGCCCGGCGCGTGCCAAGCCCCCTCCTTCCCGCCATCTGTACCCCAGTGGCTCCGCGTCGCCGTCTCCCGGAATGACCTCTCTCCGGAACTGCGGACCCGCGTCCCCATCTGTCTCGGCACACCACTCAGGTGCAAGTCTCCGCGCGCTGTCCTCCAAGCCTGGCCCGCCCCGCCCTCCTCCCCCCTTGGCCCGCTCATCGATCCCCAAAGTTGCGGCCGCTCCCGTTCCCCGGATGCACCCCCGACCTCCCGGCGCGCCGGACCCCACCTCCCCGCCGCGGGCGCCGGCCCCGCGGGGAGCAGCCTTTGGCCCGTGCGCCCTCCCCGCGAGGCCACCAGAGGCGCGCGAGCACCCGACTCGGTCGCCTCCCTCCTCCACTCAGACCGTCCATGGCTCCCACTCCACTGCCGACACCTTAGGGGGCGACACCCCTCCCACAAAGGGGGCGTGCCGTCAACGACTCTCCCCTGGATGGGAACACAGTGGGGCGGGTAAGCGCGAAGTCCTTGAGACCGAACACAAAACCAGACTTTGCTTTTGTCCCAGGACGGGACCACAGCCTGCATCAGATTGTCACAAGGCTCCACGAATAAGCTCAGAGGCCACCAGGTCGCTCTTGAATCCTCTGTCGCGCATTCAGAGGGGCCGGCCTGACTGGGTCAAAAGGCTGTGCTGACCACGACAGCAAACAAGCCCAGGCGGCCCGCCTGTGGCCACCTTCAGTCTCTGCCCCCGGCACTTTTCAGAGCCAACTCGGGCTCACAAGCAGTCCTGCTGAGTGGTCCTGGGCTTCCTCCTGGCCCCAAGCTCCAGCGACAGCACACTGACCGCCAGCCCGTGGCCGCCCCGCCTTCCCGCAGTGAGGAACCCGGTTCCAGGAAAAGGAACCACTTACCGAGACGGCAAACAGGGAGTTATCAAAAGACATGTCTGAACAGAAAGAAGAAAGAAAATCCAGGTTGGGGGCAGTTTTAACTTCCTGCTCCCGTCCCCCACCCCCAGCCCCAGGGGAAGGGGTGGGAGCCATCTCCCAGCATCCTCTCTGCCCTTCCAGCCCATTCTGCAGGGTGAACGTTCACATACACAAATGGAGCCAAGGTCTCTCTCCCGCCCAACCTCCCCTTTGGGGGCCTTTGGCTGCCTATCTCAACCCTCCACCTCCAGAAGGAGCACCTGTGGCTCCTCCCCTCCCCAGGTGCCCCAGTTGCTAGGTCGCCACCCAGCTACTCCTTCTCTTGTAGGTCTCTGCTTAAACATCACTTCCTCCGGGGACCCCAGCCTTGTCCCTGACCACGGCTCGTGGCAGCACTGGCTGTTTGTGGACGGAGACCATGCCTGTCTTGGCCACCCGGACCGCTCCCAGATATACATATATATATATATATTTAGACAAGGTCTTGCGCTGTGGCCCAGGCTGGAGTGGTGTCGTGGCGTCAGCCTAGCTCACTGCAGCCTCCAACTCCTGGGCTCAAGCGATCCTCCTGCCCCCGCCTCCCAAAATGCTGGGATCACGGGCATGAACCACTGTGCCTGACCCGTTCCCAGATCCTAGCACACAGTAGGCGCTCAATGTTTGTGTTGGACAGCGAATGAAGTCTATAGAGAGTGGGGTTTGCTCCAGGCCCCTGCAGGGGAGCACCGCGGATCCCAGCTGGCTGCCTCGCGCCCCCTCGTGGAAGCCGGCAGAATGACACGTCTGGAAGGCAAGCTGGACCCGGGCCAGAGACGGACTCCGGAGTCCTTCCCCCATGGGGTGGCCGTCCGGCGGTGGAAGCGAGTATCAGACACGGGCACCTAATGAATACTTAACTGCGGTTCCACTGAGGGTGCGAGAAGAATGGTGGGGTGCTGGCGCATGCAAGCAGCAAGCACGAACCCTGTCCAGGGAGTCAAGGAAGGCTTCCTGGAGGAGGTGGTGCAAGGAGAGAAGGCGGGAGCCCAGGGCAAGTAATAGAGAGGGTGTATTTTGCCCCTAAGGGGAACAGGCCGCGGCAGGAAAGGTCCGAGTGGCGAGGGGCAGGGTTTGAGGCGGCGATCTTGCCCGGGCGCGGCCAGGAAAGACACAGACCTGTGTTGGCGAAGTTGATCTGGGCCCAGCAGGATTCTTGATCTCTGCAAAGGGATTCAGGAGAAGGTGACGGCGTGCTGGGGTGGCCCCTCGAGACAGGAGCCCCGACCCCAAACCAGACCCGATATATCTCGCCTGCACTCCCCCGTCCACCTACCCACGAGTCCCCCCCCCCAAATGTGCCCGCACAGGGAAGGCGACAGAGAGAGAGAGACGCGGATCTGCAGAGGGGTCGCTCTGTGCATGCGACAGCCTCTCGGCCAGGTGGAAGAAAAGACTGCGAGATGGAAACCCACCCGTGGGAGCCCACAGCCAGGTGACGCTGGGATTGGATGGGTGTCTAGCCGCCTCTCGGAGGGGAGAAACTGAGGCCAGGGCCAGTTGGGACATTCTGACGCCCAGGACTCAGGGCCACTGGCTGCGGCACGACCTCAGGAAGACCCCCGGAAATCCGCCGTGGACGTCTAGAACGGCTGGAACAATTTCTGGCAACCGGTGGCAAAGAGATGCAAGAAAGGCTCAGCCACTTGGTCCCTGCGTGACAGGGCTGAGCCTCAGTGCCTTATCTGTACAATGGGACTATGCCATTGTCGCAGTGGCCGCTCCCAGGGCTGCTGTGAGGGTAAGGCGAGCTCTGACATCACAGTGGGCCCAGCACACAGTAGGCGCTTAATAAATGGCACCACCTGTTTCTATGACAGGACGCTCCCACCAGGGGGTTGCCGTTTGGGGGGGGTGGAATGCCCCCAGCCAGGAAAGTGCCTTCTGTCCCCAACCCCTCTGAGAGCCTCCAGGAACTCGTCTCACCTTTTCCTCTGTAAATGTTTGACTCTAACTGGAACAAAAACAAACGGCACTTGTTAGATTTGGTGTATTCACCACTTTCTAGAGTCAAAAGACTAAAAGCCCCTTGGAGGCCTTCTCGTATATTTGCAAAGCAGCAGCCTCCCCTCTCCCCGGGCAAATGTGCCACCCGACAGGAGACAAGAGCTGCTACAGACATCTCTTTTTCAAGTGACAGGAGTAATGAGTGTCAGTGAAAACTTCAAACAAGGTGTGAGCATGTAGAATTGTTTTCCTTTAAAATATTAATTTCAGGGCCGGCGCGGTGGCTCACGCCTGTAATCCTAGCACTCTGGGAGGCCGAGGCGGGCGGATTTTCCAGGTCGGAGTTCGAAACCAGCCTGAAGAGACCCCGTCTCTACTAAAAAAGAAAGAAATTAATTGACACTAAAAGTATATATACAAAATAGCCGGGCATGGTGGTGCATGCCTGTAGCTCCCAGCTACAGGAGTAGCAGCCTCCCAGCTACTCGGGAGCTGAGGCAGGAGGATCACTCGAGCCCAGGAGTTTGAGGTTGCTGTGAGCTAGGCTGACGCCACGGCACTCACTCTAGCCTGGGCACAAAGTGAGACTCTGTCTCAAAAAAAAAAAAAAATTAATTTCAGGGTTGCCAGGGGCCGGGGAGGGGCAGGGGCAGCCAGTGTTTCACGGGACAGAGGATTCATTGGGAAGATGGGAAAGTTCTGGAGACGAGGGTGATGGTGCAAACAGCGTGAATGTGTTCAGTGCCACCGAGCTGTGGACTTAAAAGACGGTTAAAGTGGTAAATCTCATGCCGTGTAGAATGTATTTTACCACGATAAAAATAAATGGCTGTGTCAATTTTCCCTGCTGTCTTCTGGAGATCAGGGAATTTTTCTGGAAGGTGTTTTCACCGCTAAGTTTTAGAGTAAGACCTCCTCATGCTGTCTGCCTCTGGGATCCAAAACAAAAAATGGGTGTGGGAGCACATGTGCATGTTCTAGAAGTTCCGAGCTCGTGGGCCATGCTTTCTTTGTGTGCTGTTACCTTTCCTGACTACCACGGCCAGGGTCGCCAGCCCCGCGAGGAGGAAGAAGGTTCCAGCCAGGCTCAGGGACAGCGCCAGGATCCAAGTGGGCACTAGAGGAAAGTGGGGAAAGAGAAAGTGGGCAGATGATGGGGGACAGGAACGGGGTGCGACACCTGCCTTCTCTCCTTTGAGGAGTCAGCTCTTCCCCCAGTACCCCTAACTGTGCCACTTAGGTAAAGCCTAACCCTGGGGACTTAGCAAACATTGTGTCTGGCTAATTAGCATATTCCCTCCCCCCTGGCTATAGTAATTGGTCCAGAGATGAGCATGTAGTCCAAGCGGAGCCAATGAGAACTAATTCTGGGACCTTGGCTACACCACTGGGAAAAGAGTTTTAGTCCTTTGCCTAGCATGGCAGGGCTGGGAGGAGACATATCTAAGGCTGCCCGGCACAATCTTGCCATCGTGAGGAGGTGGGCACGTCTGAGAATAAGACACACAAGAACGCAGAGCTGAAAGGTGGGCAAAGGATTCCTGGCATCTCTGAGCACCTGGATCCAGCCATACCTGAAGTCAGCCGTGTGAGCCGACTTCAATTCAGTGAACCAACGAATCCCCTTTTGTTGCTGAAGCCAGTTCGAGCCAAGTTTTTGATGAATTGCAGCCTGGGTTCCAGGGGTTCAGGGGCCAACTACCCCTAGCCAAACGGTGGACCCTGAGATCCACACGGAGGTCACCACAGAGGCACAGGAGTGACAGTGGCAGAGTTTCCTTCTCTGCAAAGGACTCGGCTTCCCCTCCCGGCAGAGAGAGAGGAGACGACCTCACCCGAGCAGAGGTCGGGAGCTAAGCCGGGAAGGGGAAGGAGAAGACAGACACTTGGTATCCTCACAACGCCGGGCCTTGTTCATTCATTCATCTGGGGCGGTTGTCACCTCCTCACCTCAAGACCGCAGGGCCAAGGTGAGAGAAGGGGGCCTTTGACAGAGGATCCCGAGGCCTGGGAGGACACAGAACTGCTCTGTCCTCACGGCCTGCGAGCCTCCGCTGCCGACAAGGTTGTCTTTGCATTGGGAAGGGTGGTGGTGACAGAAGGCCACTGAAGGCTTCCGGCTCCTCCTCCCTGACCTAGAACCCAAGCCCGGCCTCCACTCCTGGGAAGACCAGAAAAAGACATCCGCCCTCCCGGGGCTCCCGTCTCACTCAGATGAAAATCTGACGTCCTGGCTGCAGCCCATAAGACCCAACACGTCCTCCCTGTCACCTCCCTGCTTTTGTCTCCATTTTCCTCCGTGTTCACTGTGCTTGAGCCATACTGGGCTCCTCCGTGTCCCTCAGACACATCCGGGGAGCTCCAACCTCAGGGCCTTTGCACAGCCTGTTTCCTCAGCCGGCAACTCTCGCCCCAGCGCCCGCAGTGCTGGCTTCCCCTCAACCCATTTAGTGCTGCTGCTTCTTTGTAGAGACAGGATCTCACTCTGTCACCCAGGCTGGGGTGCAGTGGCTGATCACAGCTCACTGTAACCTTGAACTCCAGGCCTTGAGTGGTCCTCCCTCCTAGGCCTCCCAAAGTGCTGGAATTACAAGCCTGAGCCACTATGCCTGACTCATTTTTAAAAAGTTTTTTGTACAGATAGGGTCTTGCTATATTGCCCAGGCTGGTCTTGAACTCCTGACTTCAAGCAATCCTCCCGACTCAGCCTCCCAAAGTGCTGGGATTACAGGTGTAGCTACCACACCCGAGTAGCGTTTTATGTGGCCGAGAGGGGAGGGTGCAGAGTAGTGCTGAGGTTCAATGCCTGGTCTTCGGCAGCCATTGGCATCCCAGCTCGGCTACCTGTTAGCTGAGTCACCTCTTCTGCCTCAGTTGCCTCATCTGCAAAATTGGGAGAATCATGGCTCCAATTTTGCCACCATGAAGGGGAGGCCTGCCTGAGAATAAGACCCGGAAGGAAGCAAAGCTGAGAGGTGGCCAATGATTCCTGACATCTCTGAGCGCCTGGATCCAGCCATACCTGAAAGCAGCCATGGGAGCTGATTTCAATTCAGTGAATGAACAAATCCCCTTTTGGGGTGGCCGAGAGGATGGAAAAGGGAAAGGCGAGAAAGTCCTGGCAGGTTGCAAGCCTGGCTATTCCTGGCTCTTCCGCCTAAGAGGAGGGGACACACATGCGAAGGGTTGGGGTCAGAAAACCGAGCCGCCGGCAGCCCTCACCTGGGAAGCGGACGTGCACAGGCGCGCTGAGGTCCGACAGCTGGGGCTCGCTGTGCTCGCCCATCACGCCATACTGGCAGTGGAACGGCCCCCCCGGGGCCTCGCTGCTGCCGCCGCTCAGGTTGAAAGTGACCCCACGGTGGTCCGCGGGGGCCTGCAGGCGCTGGACCATGTGCCCCCCTCGGTACAGTGTGAAATTCGCCCCCAAGAAGCTCTCGGGGGCCACGCAGGAGATGTAGATGGGGTCCTCTTGGCTGCTCGGGTGTGGGGGCACCAGCAGGATGGACGGCGCCGGGATCGCCAAGGAGCCTGCGGTGCGGAATAAGGGGAGGCTGGCCTGGCTGTGTGGCCTTGGGCAAGTAGATCGCCCTCTCTGGGCCTTGGGTTTTATGTACGTCAGGAATCTAGTGATCCTTTTCCCACTGCAACGTTGAGGGCACTGAGTGCCTGGCACGTGGTGAGGGGTCCCTGTGTTTCTGTCATTTTATTATTTATTTATTTATTTTGAGACAGAGTCTCACTCTGTTGCCCGGGCTAGAGTGCCATGTTGTCAGCCTCGCTCACAGCAACCTCCAACTCCTGGGCTCAAGCGATCCTCCTGCCTCAGCCTCCCGAGTAGCTGGGACTACAGGCATGCGCCACCGTGCCCGGCCAATTTCTTTCTATTTTTAGCAGAGACAGGATCTTGCTCTTGCCCAGGCTGGTCTCGAACTCCTGACCTCAGGTGACCCTCCCGCCTCGGCCTCCCAGAGTGCTAGGGTTACAGGTGTGAGCCACCGCGCCCGGCAGAGACAAGAAGTTCTAGGTGACAGGAAGCCCGAGTTAGCTGGGATGGCCCCAGAGGGCTTCCCTGCAGAGGTGACATCCGAGCGGCAAGAAGGACCCAGGCTAAGAGCTGGAAAAGAGCACCCCAGCCAGAGGGAACAGCACAGACAAAGGCTCAGAGGATGGAAGGGCGTGGGGCTGTTCGGGAGCAGCCAGGAGGCGGCGGGAGTGGCGGGAGGTAGGGGAGGGGCAGAGGGCGAGCTAGAGGGCAGAGGGCAGAGGGCAGAGGGCAGAGGGCAGAGGGGCTCTCTCCTTTCCCAGGCTGTGCTGGGATACGGATTTGGGAGGACGGCTTCCTGCAGGGACCAGACTCTCCCCAGCGGCCCCGAGCAGAGCGTGGGGCCAGGCGGCGTCCACACAGGCCTTCCCTTGTCCGGCCGCCACCCCCAGGGGAACCCTCCTGCTGCCCCTGCCCTCCAGGTAGGAGCCTGCAGAGGCCAAGCAGGGCTGAGTCACGGGGCGTGGGCACAGCTGGGCGATGCTGTTTCTGATATTCTTGACTCGGGGCGGGCGAGCGAGGAGCCTCCCCGGAAAAATCAGTGCTCCCGGGCAGGTTCCAAGGCTCACGGTCACAGCCATCCGCCCGCCTGGGCTCGGCTTCCTCTAGCACCTGGGAGAGGCGCCCCCACCCCGACGCCTGGGTGTCTGTCCCCCGGGCAGCCGGGTGGGCGGGAGCCGCGGGGTGCAGGGTGAGGGTCCTCAAGGTGGGTGGGGGGTGGCATCAGACTCACCAGCTGCAAAGAGCAAGACAGTCCAGGGCATCTCTCCTCCCGGGTTTGGCCAGGAAACCTGGCTAAGGCCAGAGGGGCCCACGGCTGCCGGCCAACTCCTCCTGTGAGGCCAGATCCGGGAAAGGAGAAGCAGAGCTGATTCGAGAAAGAAAGCGGAGAGTTTCCTCACTGGCAGGAAGTTGCACACACACAACGCACACTTGGGCACTGGAAGGGGCTCTCCCCTCTCCCCACCCCTTCCCCAAACGCACGCCAGCCCCTGGCACCTCTCTGCGACCTCGCGGCTGTGCCTCTGCAGATCGGAGGGGAGAGAACGGATGAAACGGTCCGGTGTGGGTTTGTTTTTCTCTATCCCCCCCCGCCCAGGAGAGCTCTTGGGCACGAGAGGTGACAACTGTGGGCCGTCTGGGAAACCCACACCCAGATCACAAACCACAGCCCAACCAGTGCCCAAACGGACAGGCATGAAGGGCAGAGAGTGGGAGGGCATGGTGGTTAGGGCTTGGCCTCTGTGACCTCAGACAAGGCTTTTCTTTCTAGAAGCCTCAGCTTGCTGCTTTGCAGAATGGGGCTAATATGAATAGGAGTGGACATTCGATCCAGAGAACTCAGGGGCTGGAGCCCAAAAGTTCAAGGCTGCAGCGAGCTATGGTCACACCACTGCAGTCCAGCCTGTGCGACAGAGCCACATCCTATGTTTTAAAAAATATATATAAAAATAAGAACTCATGGTATGAAATGCAGTGCCCAGTGGGTTGTAAGCACCCCCAGTGTGAGGCTACGGGGAAGAAAAAGCCTCAGCACCCTGGTGAGAAGGAAACTCTAGCTCCAGAATTGAGGAAAATGATATAGTTTGCAGAATAAATTGCCTCCTGTTTATGGTCCAGAAACTTCCAAGGTTCTGTCTTAGCAGTGAGTTGGCTTTGGCCTTTCTAAAAAATTTGTGTTCGAGCCAAGCAGGTTGTTTGGCCTGGAGGTTTACACCCAAGAAGGATATAGTGTGTGGTCACAAACATTAAAAAGGGTCATTGGAGTGGACTTTATTCTTTGGACACAAAAAGCTCATTCCAACTTTTAGGACTTTGCACGAGCGATTTCCCTTGCCTGGGACAAAATTCTACCAACCCAGTCAAATCCTACTTGTCCCAGGTTTCAGCTTAAATGTCACTTCTGTGGCCAGGCGCGGTGGCTCACGCCTGTAATCCTAGCACTCTGGGAGGCTGAGCCAGGAGGATCGCTTGAGGTCAGATGTTTGAGACCAGCCTGAACAAGAGCAAGACCCCATCTCTACCAAAAATAGAAAAAATTAGCCGGGCATGGTGCCACACACTTGTAGTCCCAGCTACTTGGGAGGCTGAGGTAGGGGGATTGCTTGAACTCAGGAGTTTGAGGTTGCTGTGAGCTATGCTGAATCCACGGCACTCTAGGCTGGACAACAGAGTGAGACTCTGTCTCAAAAAACAAAAAAATAATAATAACTTCTGGGAAATCCTTCCAGGCCCCTCTGGACTTAGAGAAATCCCCTTGCTGAATTCTCCCATAGAGCCTTGTAATTTTCCTTTCTTGCAATTAGCATGCTTGCATTTTCAAGGAATTTTTCCATTTCACCTGAGTTGTTGAATTTACTGGTATAAACTTGTTCGTATTCCCTTATTATCCTTTTAATGTCCATAGGGTCTGTAGTGATGTCCCTTCTTTCATTCCTGACAATGGCAACTTGTGTATTCTCTTTTTTCCTTATTAGTCTTGCTAGGGGTTAATCAGTTTGACTAATCTTTTATTAACCTTTTTGAAGTGGCATCATCATAGCTCACTGCAGCCTCAAACTCCTGGGCTCAAGTGATCCTCCTGCCTCAGCCTCCCGAGTAGCTGGTGTGCACCATGACGCCCAGCTAATTTTAAAATCTTTTTGTAGAGCTGGGGTCTCACTATGTTACTACCCAGGCTGGTCTTGAACTCCTGGCCTCAAGTGATCCTCCAGTCCCTCAGCCTCCCAAAGTGCTGGGACTACAGGCGTGAGCCACCATGCCTGGCCCTGTCATGATTTCTTAAAACAGGTTTCTTCCTCCAGCAGTGCAGGGATGGGGTTTGTGTTGTCACCTTCAGTGTCCCCAGGGCTTGGCACATCATAAAGATTTCTCAATTGTCAGACCTGACAGCCAAAACACATCCACTCGGGCAATTTTTGTGGCTGCTTGCTGGGTGTGTAGGAGACTGGATTAAGAGAGATTCCTGGCTCATTTTTTTGCACCAACTGTTTACTCAGTTTGACCAAGGGCCCAGAATTGTGCCGAGTGCCAGGCGTATGGTGATGAGTACAAACAGCTCACACCCTTGAGCTCAGCGCTCAGGGACAGAGCTGACGAGTGGACGATGAGTCCAGGTGGTGGAGCGCTGCGGCAGCGGCAGTCACCCAGAGGAGCTCTTAAATCCACAGGTTCAGGGAGGGCTTCTGGGAGGAGGCAACATCTGACGCCAGAGATTTAGCGGGAGAGAGAGGAAGGGCATTCTATGTGGAGGGAACGGTATTCACGAAGGGCCTTGGATGTATGCAAAGCCTTAATCCCGGTGCTGTTTAACACGGTGCAGGGATCTACAGCCCGGAATTTTGAATCCACTGGGCCCTTTGCTCAGGAGAGTGGAACCACGCACCTGAGCTGGTCACGTGTCACCCAGATGGTGCCCTCAAGAGTCGTGGGCAGGGTGAAGGGAAACCCACAGGAACACGATCGCCCCTGGGGTCAGGGAGCTGTTACCACCCAGGCCTGACCCTCCTGGGGAGGGAGCAGTGACGGAGACAGCTGTAGCTGCAGGCTTTGGTAGAGAGACGCAGACCGACAGGGCAGAAGCCAGGCGATGGGATCAGCACCTCCACGTCGCCCTCCTGCCCGGCCCTCACATCCCCCGCCAGGGCCAAATTCAACTGGGGGCGAGAGGGAAAGACTACTAGCGGACACGCTGGGTACAGACTGGCCTCCCAGGGCACGGGCCAGGGCAGGGCGGAGAGTGGGGCTGGTGGCGTGAACAGAGACTGCCCGGCGCACACTGCCGGAATGCACTGCCGCAATCTCAGGGCGCCCGTGAGCTCCCCAGGGATGTGCGGACCCCAGCGGGCTAAGATGCTAGGCTGCCACCACAAAGGCCACAGGGCCCCTCCATGATGTGGCTTTGTCTGATAGGGTCCTCTCCTTGTTACTTCAAGTCTCATCTCAAATGCCACTTCCTCAGGGAAGTCTTCCCTGACTCCACCTAGGCTAAATTAGCCACCCCATTACCATCTACTGCCTATACTGCCTAGCATTCACTGCTTCTTCTTTTTTCTTAGATTTATTTATTTATTTATTTATTTATTTATTTATTTATTTAGAGACAGTGTCTTGCTCTGTCGCCCAGGATGGAGTGTACTGGCACAATCATAGCTCACTGTGACCTCAAATTCCTGGGCTTAAGCGATCCTCCTACTTAAGTTTCCCGAGTAGCTGGGACTACAGGTGTGTACCATGACACCCAGTTAACTTTTAATTTTTTTTGTAGAGAAGGGGTCTTGCTATGTTGCTCAGGCTGGTCTTGAGCTCCCGGGCTCAAGAGAGCCTCCCATCTCAGCCTCCCAAGTGCTGGGATTCCAGACATTGGCCAGCACACCCAGCCTAGCATTGACTTCTTGGTGCCTATATAGCTGAAATAATCTTAGTGCTAAACTTGTGTATCCTTCTTGCTCCTATGCTAGGATATCGGCTCCGTGAGGACACGGACGGCCAGTGTCCGTTGTATTCACACTATCGGATGCTCAGGAAACATCTGCTGAATAATAATTGGGGAGGAGAGTTTTTGTTTTTGTTTGTTTACTCGAGGGACATGAATGACCCATTCGTGAGTCACCAGAGGTGGGCAGGAATGGTGGAATAGGTAGCTCCAATGGCCCGTTCCTTCACCAAAACATAAAAAAAAACAAACAAAAAAACTGTCAGAATCAACTTTATCCAAACTCTGGTGGTGTTTAATAAAAATTATAGGAGGCCATTGTTTTAGACTAAATTTCTACATTAAGCTTCAAAAGACCAGACTAAAAATCAAAATGGAGTCACCCATGCTAAAGTTCCACATCACCAAACTGAAACTGAGCTATTACCCGACCTTCCTGGTTAGCAGTGCTGATTCTAGAATCGCAGATAAAGTCAACTGAGGGCTGTAACTAAATCTGTTGTCATTCCGGCCTTTGGTATTGGATAACAAAGGTTTATGCCAATCAAGCAAACACTGAATCAAGAAAAAGGCAACTTGAACATGGCAGGAGGACTTTGTGGTATTTTCACTCGTCCTCGTCCCCATGTCCTTCACTGCACAAGTCTTGAGGACAGCAGCCTGTGTTCTCAGGATGGAGTCCTGGTTCCTGAGGGAACAGAGTGGCCCCCGGTCTCCCACCCAAGTACTCACCGGGCCTGACCCTGCTTAGCTTCTAAGATCTGACAAGATCAAGAGCTTTCTGGGTGATGTCGCCATGGAGGCAGCCTCCATTCTCAAAAGTATAGTCATGTGCTACATAGTGACATTTCAGTCATATGCGAAGACATTGTTTCCATAAGATTATAACACTGTCTTTTCACCGTACCTTCCCTACCTTTAGATACATTTAGATATACAAGTACTTACCATTGTGTTATAACTGCCTACACAATTCAGTACAGTAACATGCTGTACAACTTTGTAGCCCTAGAAGCAACAGGCTAGCTCATAAAGCCGGGGTGTGTAGTAAGGTTTGTGGAAGTACAATTTACGATGTTTGCACAAGGAAACTGCCTGGGGATGCATTTCTCAGAAAGTATCATCGTTGTTAAGCTCAGTGGGACTGCACTGTGTTTGTTCTAACATGTCTAGAGGGGTACAGAAGGGTTGACTCAAGTCTTTGTCTTCGCTTAATTCAGAATACATTCCTTGAAAACACTGTCAAGGCAAAGGAAGAACCCACACCCGCCTGGGGTAAAAGATTACAATGCAGGAAAACAATAGACACGCCACAGCTTGAGTGGAAAAGTGGTGGTAAATGTTTCTTTGGGTAATAAAGGCATTCCTATATACTGAAGAATTTAGAAAGCAATGTTGCAATGCCCAGGGTAGGACGCATGCTCAGAAAAGACCTGGGAAGTCCCTAAGCTGTCACCTCTTGTGCTCAGCCAATCACTAGGCTGAGCACAAGCAGGAAGCGAAGGCTAAGGCAGGGCTGGCTAAGCACTGGGGGACCCCATCATAGATCTGCAAAGACTGGGAGAGGTTTTTAGTTTATTTTTTTCTTTTTTTCCCCTTTGCATAAGATATGACAAATTCTTACAGCCCAACAACAAAAAGATAAACAAACTGTTTTGGAGGTCAAAAGACTTGAACAGATATTTCTCCAAATATGATATACAAATGGCCAAGAGGCACATGGAGGGATGACCAACATCATTAGTAACCAGGGTAATGTAAATCAAAACCACAATGAGATACCACTGCACACCCATTAGGATGTCTATAATAAAAATAAAACAGAAAATCGTAAGTGTTGGTATGTGAAGATATTGGAATCCTCATATATGGTTGGTGGGAATGGAAAATAGTGTAGCCACTGGGGGAAACACGTTGGTAGTCCGTCAAAAAGTTAAACATAGAATTATCATATGACCCAGCAATTCCACTCCTAGACTGAAAGCACTCCAAAAGAACTGAAAGCAGATACTCAAATACACATACACACATGTTCACCCAAAGGTGTAAACAACCTAGATGTCCATCAACAATGAATGGAAAGTTTGGGCAACAGTGGCTTCAATAATATTGTGGTTTTAAGATATTGTAGGCCAGGTATGGTGGCTCAGCCTATAATTCTAGCACTCTGGGAGGCCGAGGTGGGAGGATCATGTGAGGTCAGGAGTTCGAGAACGGCCTGAGCAAGAGTGAGACCCAGTCACTACAAAAAATAGAAAGAAATTAGACAGACAACTAAAAATATATAGAAAGAAATTAGACAGACAACTAAAAATATATAGAAAAAAATTAGCCGGGCATGGTGGTGCATGCCTGTAGTCCCAGCTACTTGGGAGGCTGAGGCAGGAGGATCGCTTGAGTCCAGGAATCGGAGGTTGCTGTGAGCTAGGCTGATGCCACAGCACTGTAGCCTGGGCAACAGAGCAAGACTCTGTCTCAAAAAGAACATCAACAACAAAAATGGATAAAGAAACTGTGGTATATCTATGCAATGGAATACTACTCAGGCATTAAAAAGGAATTGAATACTAAAATGTGATAGATGGAGGAACCTCAGAAACATGGTAAGTGAAAGAAGTTAGGTGTAAACAGTCACACATCGTATGATTCCACTCCTATGAAATATCCATACTGTGTAAATCTACAGAGGGAGAAAGCAGATTGCTTGTTGACAGAAGGTGAGGTGAGGGGAAAATGGGGAATAGCAGCTTAATGGGTACAGGGATTCTTTTCGGGCTGATGAAAATGTTTTGGAACTAGATAGAAGCAGCGATTTGCACAACATTGTGAATGTACTGAATGTCACTGAATTTTAAAATGGCTAATTTTATGCGATGTGAAATTTTATCACATTTTAAAAAATCCATTTTAAAAAAGGGAATCACCCATTCTCCGTTACTACTTCGAAATATCCAAGCAATGAGTCTCATGGTAGAAAAACTTGGAGTGAAGCTGACATTACAGAGGGGGTGCTACCTCCCTACGTTCTCCAAATGCAGGAGAGGGCTGACAACCAGCAGCTGTATGTGAGGAGTAACTATCACGACCTGCCAACCTATCCCGGGTCCAGCTTTGAAGACTAAAGACGTTTTTAAAAAAACGTTTGGATGGGGTCACCAAGTGGAGTCCATTTGTCCAGTGACTTTTGCTTATCTGCCTGCTTCCCGGAGGAAGGTGGCCGCCACATCCTTTCAACCCGACTGAGGGACCAGGTCAAGCCACAGGCTGCCCCATGGTGGGCAAAGAACCAGGAACCAAGTGACATCATTATTTACTGAGGGCGGCGATGTGCCAAGCCCTGCCGTGTGACACAAGCATTCGACAAGCATCATCTCGCTTAGTCCTCACAGCAGCCCAACGGGGTAGGCGTATTATCATCCCCACTTTGTGGATGAGGAAACCGAGGCTCAGCGGGGCGGCTGCCTCAGATAACGGGTGGGGCTGCGGCTCTCAGGCCCACACTCCGGTCACCTCTTCTCACCTGGGCTGTCGTTCTTCCTCACCCAAGGCCACCTTAATGACGCTGTTTACCTGCAGGCCCTCGAGTTTGAGACCTTGGGGATGCAGGGTGGGACGAAGCCCCTCTACGGACTCTACGCAAGGAGAGCTGAGCGCTCAACATGGGCCAGGCTTCGTCCCAATTCTCACGGCCGCCCTACAGGGTGGTCGTTCCATCACCCTCAACTTACAGGCGAGGAAACTGATAAAAGTGAAGGTTCTACGGCCCAAAGCAAATGAGGGGGGGGGGGCCAACGTCGTATCTGGGGCCACGCTCGGATACCACCTACAACACACTCCTCCAATTATGTCCACACGCCCCAGCTGAGGGATTTTTATAGGCGAGCCCTACGGATCGTGCGCAGGGCCATGCCCAGCAGTTATTTTGGGATCGCTCCACCCAGCCTGGACAAGCCATCCGGCATCGCGCGCGGAGTACTCTGGGAAAACCGCAGGGAGGTGCCCTGGAAGGACCCGGTCGCCTCCACTGTAGTTGTCTTAGCTTTTGCCTGCGAAAGATGCGCCACCATGGCACTTATTTTTGTCACTTTTCCCGACAAGTGGTTAAGAGTAGAGCTGGAGGTCTTTCAGAAAAAGCCTTTAGCCGGTTGAGTGTTTTTAGGCGCATTAGGCATTCATTCGGGCAGTTTGTCTCCCAGGGGGTCCTTCACTCCTGGATCCTCTATGGACAGAAGAGGCTGCCAATGAGATACGTCGAGTAGCAGAAGGGGCAGGGCCAGCCCTTAAAGGAGCCGCGACCCGTGAGCAGACCAGAGGGTGACCCGGATGATGGCGGCCGGCGCGGCCCTAGCCCTGGCCCTGTGGCTACTACTGCCTCCAGTGGAGGTGGCAGGGGCTGGACCTCCGCCGATCCAGGACGGCGAGTTCACCTTCCTGTTGCCTGCGGGGAGGAAGCAGTGTTTCTACCAGTCCGCGCCGGCCAACGCAAGCCTTGAGACCGAGTACCAGGTACACGGTCCCGGGCTGCAGAGCTGGCGGAGTCAGGGAGGGGGCGTGGCTAGGCAGCCGAGGTGAGGCGTGTCTTAGAGGGAAGGGGCGGAGCCTGTGCGTGAGAGCTCGGGGGCGGAGCGAAGGAGAGCGAGAGGGAATGGGTAGGGATGGCGCGCGGGAGATGAATGGGTGTAATGAAGGAGGCGGGGCTAGCATGAGAGCCGGAGCGAGCGGGGCCAATGGGAAGTAGAGGGTGCCTCTCAGATGACAGGACTCTCGCTGGCGGGCGTGGCTAGTGGGCTGATAGGGAGGCTACCAGGGCGTGGCCAACAAGGACAGGGCCCTATCGCCTTTGGAGGCGGGGCTAAGTGAGGGGGCGTGGCACACAAGCGTCCATCAAGGACTTTTGATTGGGGGCGTGGCCAGATGAAAGTACTGACCCGGAATCTGCTGTATTAATGAAGGCGGAGGCAAGAGTTGTGGCCAGAGGGATTGGTGGGGTCGCGACCAGGCTGTAGGTGTGTCTGTGCTCACATCTGCCCTTGGTGGTCGGCACGGGTGTGTGGTTGGTCTAGCCCTGGTTGCCTTGGGCAGGCGCCCTTGGCCTCCTGCTAACAGTCCACCCGCTCTTACCTGCTCCCCAGGTGATTGGAGGTGCTGGGCTGGACGTGGACTTCACGCTGGAGAGCCCTCAGGGTGTGCTGTTGGTCAGCGATTCCCGCAAGGCTGATGGGGTGCACACGTGAGTTAAGTCCTGCTGCCTGCCTGGGTTCGGTTACAGCCCTGGCCCTCCCTCCCCTGCAGCCTCAGGTTACCGCCCTGCCTGCCCCACAGAGTCCGACCGGCTGGCCACTCAGTGTCATGACTGTGTGTCTGTGTGTCTGTCTGCCCAGGGTGGAGCCCACGGAGGCCGGAGACTACAAGCTGTGTTTTGACAACTCCTTCAGCACAATCTCTGAGAAGCTGGTGTTCTTCGAACTCATCTTTGACAGCTTGCAAGATGATGAGGAGGTCGAGGGCTGGGCAGAGGCTGTGGAGCCAGAGGAAATGCTGGATGTCAAAATGGAGGACATTAAGGTGCGCCCAGGCTGAGATGGGGCCACTCCTCCCAGATCTCCGGCATTGGGCAGTAGGGTGCCCCTGCCCTCTCTGCAGCTGGAGTCCCCTCTTTGGCCTGACCCAGCCTCCCCTACATTGTGGTGCCCCAAACTTAATTATAATAACCGTAGCATCTCCATTAAGTAGCTCATTTCTAAGTGTAAACCCTATTTTAAGGGCTGAAATAACTCATATCTCATACCACAAATCTCCATAACCACCCCATGAAGTACCTCCTGTGCTCTAATTATCCCCATTTTACAGTTGGGGAAACTGAGGCAAAGGTAGCTAAGCAACCCAAGTCCACACAGCTAGCAACTGGCAGAGCAGTATCTAAATCCAGGTAGTCTGGCTTCAGCAACTATGCTCTTAATCATGAGTAAACATGTTCTGTACATTTATTTAGGCATTCAATTTTCACATCCATTTTGAGTTTTATAGAAAAGGAATCTGAGGCCCAGAGAGGTTAATTGACTTGCTCACGGTCACACAGCCAGAGAGTGGAAGAGCGAGGATTCAGACTTAGGCAGCCGTGTTCTCAGCTGTTTTCCCCCAGCCCAACACGGTCTTCCCTTCCCTTCCCCTGCTGTTACTGGTCTCTCTGCAAAGGGCAGAAGTCTGACCCTGCTCCTTCCTCTGCCCTGCAGGAGTCCATAGAGACCATGAGGACCCGGCTGGAGCGCAGCATCCAGATGTTGACACTGCTGCGGGCCTTCGAGGCGCGGGACCGCAACCTGCAGGAGGGCAACCTGGAACGGGTCAACTTCTGGTCGGCCGTCAACGTGGCTGTCCTGCTACTGGTGGCCGTGCTGCAGGTCTGCACGGTCAAGCGCTTCTTCCAGGACAAGCGCCCCGTGCCCACGTAGCCCCTGCCCCGGAAGGAAGAAGGGGAAAAAGGAGGGACAGTGGGGCATGTGCTTGTGGACTTGGGGGTCTCCCTCCCCAACTTAGTTTCCTACGAGGGGAGGCCTGAGATGAAGCCTGGTGCATCTGAGCAGGCAGGCGACACGCTGGCTTGCGGGCCGTGGTCCTCTGGGAGGGGCGGCTCAGCGGCTGCCTCTACTTTCCTGGAAGTCGTGCTGGGGGACACTGCAGCGTTGCAGCGCGACCATTGGATTTTCTGGTCCGCGCCCCCGACTGTAAACGTGCCTTAGCCCAAGTCTTCCAGCCTGCATCAGTGCTGCCGCTGCCGGTGTGGGCCGGGCCGGGAAGCAAACCCTGCTCTTCCCTGCCTGGGCCCCCGAGCCAGGTCGTGCTGGGAGGGGGCTGCTGCTGCTTCCAGGGGCCGGGAAGGAAACATGGCTGCGGAGCTGTTGCCAGGATAGTCGCTTTATTCCACAGGAAGGGGCCCTGGCCCCTTGGCCCAGCGGGGGCCAGCTGGCTGTGAGGTCTGGTAACAGAACTCCAGGAGGGGGGCCTGCAAGACCCTCCGCCCCTCCCCTTCTCCCTGCAGGGGCCCCAGACAGGGCTGAGAGGTGGCCTGGCCAAAGCCCCGAGCTGGAGCCTCAGAGAACAAAGGGCTGTCTGGCCTGGGCACCGGAGTCAATAAATTATGGACAGAAAAATCACAGAGCCTGGTGATTGGGGGCTTGGGGACACGAGCTGGGACCGACCTGCCCCCACCACAGGGGCAGTCAGGCGGGCAGGGGTGGGGGTGGGGTCTCCCACGAAGCTCAGAAGAAAGGTCGTGCGGGAGCCGATGGAGGTGGTCGCCTGGGCACAAGAGAAAAATCAAAGAGCAAAGTTTAACTGTGTCCCCAGCTGCGCCACAAGGCCTGGGCCCTCCAAAGAGGGCAAGAGAAGGGGGACCCCTGCATGTTGGGCAGCAGCCAGGCCTCTGTGAGTGGGGTGGTGGGGTGGGGGAGCGGGGAATGTCTACCGCACAGTTTCCTGCAGCAGAAGTGACACCGCCCCTGTCGCTGGAGCAGAGGCCCCAGCAGGAAGGAGCGGGAGGCCGGCGAGGGCAGGTAGGCGCTCGCTCAGCCTGGACACCAACACAAAAGGCCCACACAGCAGCCACCAGAAGCGTCTTCCCTTTATTTTAGTTTATTAATAGGATACAGAGTGCAGGCACTTACAGCGGTCAAACCGAGCGAGGAGAGCGAGTTCTGCTCAGAGAGAGGCCGCCCGGGGCCCACCCCGTAGGGGAGGCCTGGGTGGGGTTGAGAGGCCCCCAAAGCGCCCCCAGCCCACGCAGCCCCGAGCCCAAGCCACCCTGGGTGCCCCAGGAGGAGGAGAGGGCCGAGAGCAGAGACGGCGAGGCTGGCCCGGGCCGGGAGTTCCGGGCGTGGCGAAGGCACCTGCGGCAGCCGCGGCCGGCGGGCTCAGGCTGTGTGGTTAATATGGCCAAGAAAGGACTATGTACAACTCGGGCCTGGTGGGCGGCAGCGCTGCACCCCCGGGCCTGGCTGGCCGCTAGGAGCTCCCACTAGTGAGAGGGGGACATCGCCCTGCGCCCTGCCAAGGCCTGGGGGCGACAGGCAGCTGCGGCACCCCGGCTTCCGGAAGGCCTGTCCACGTGGGCTTTCCCGGCCAGAGAAGGCCCTGGCAGGGGCTCCCACCCTAGCCCAGACCCCTCAAGTCAAGGAGGAGCCCAGGCAGCAGGTGCCCCCTCCGCGACCCTGAGACCCCATCCCCCAAAGTGCAACACCCCTGTGCCCCCACTGGGGGCTCCAGGGCCCCTTCTCTCATGCGGTGTCCAGCTGGGGACGGGCCGGGTGAAGGGAGAGGCAGGGGCTGCCCACGGGGAGCCTGGTCCCGGCCTAGGGGTGGCGGAAGGGCCCAGACCACCGAAGCTCCTGCACCGAGGGTGCGCAAGGCCCCCAGAACGCGCCCCCCGCGCAGCCTAGTCGAGCAGGGATGGCTCGGCCGGGCGGATAATGGTGGGCCGGCTGGGCGCAGCGGGGGGTCTTCTGCTGCAAAGAGAATAGAGACAGACGGGAGGGGAGACCGCAGTGAGGCCACAGCAGGACAGGACGGAGGACAAGACGTAGGGGCAGGACAAGGACCCGGCACCCGCCGCCACCCCCGCCCCAGGGTGCTCCCAGTGCTGGATGCTTTGCAGGCCACCAGGGTGCCAGGAAGGAGTTTGCCAAATGTCACTCTCCTGCCGTGTGACCCTGGGCCAGTCCCCTGCCCTCCCTGGACCTCGGCTTCCCCACAGAACTGAGAATAGAGCTGCCAGCAGGGTGGGCTGAGGAGGGCAGAGGTGGGAAGAAGAGGGCAGGTGGTGGGGCAGGTGCTCAGCATAAGGGGTCCCCAGTTGCATGGTGATCCACCCACGTAGGCAGAGGACAAGCCCTGAAGTCACCCGGACTCTACCACTCTGTGGCTTTGGGCAGGCAACTTGGCCTCTCTGGGCCTCAGTTTCCCCACTAGCAAAATGGGGATGAGGATGGTGCCCCCACTTCCCTGCTGGGCACGTGAGCCCATCAGGAGGGCGTCCAGTTAGAGCAGAACCCCGGGCGCAGGGGGTCGGCCTTACCTGGGCACTCCGGGGGGGATCCCGGGGGGGATCCGCGCTGGCCGAGACGGGATCTGAGGCGGGGCCGAGAAGGGGTCGTTGTTGGCAAACACACTCTGGGGTCCAGGCCGGGAAGGGATGGGGGGCGCCGAGAAGGAGGCTGCTGGCCCCACCGGCACGGGAATCAGAGGGGGCCCTGGTGTGGGGCCCCGCACTGCTGGGGGCCGGCCCGGGGGGTGCACGCTGGACACGGGCCGGCGCTGTGGAGTGGGGCTGTGGGGGAAGAGAGGGCGTGAGCCGGGAGGGACGGGGTGCAGTGAGATCCTCGCACCCCCAACCTTAGCCCCGGCCCTGGCCCCAGCCTGCCTGCCCGCGCCATCAGCCCCCAAGGGGTCCCGCTGTCCTATGCCCATACCCCCCAAGCCCCACTGCCTCTGATCTACTGTCACAACTGAAGACCCTTCGAGAGCCCAGCCCTGTCCTCCAAATCAAGCCGCAATGCCTGCAGGGGGCCCTGGGACCCACATGCCCTGGCCCAGCACCTGCTGCTCCCCAGGCCTGGGTGCTGTGCCCTCTCCCTGGGGGACTCCATGGCTCCCTGAGGTCTCGTGGGCAGCACCCTCTGGGCAGGGAGTCGTGTGGCTTCCTCCCCTAGGGCTCAGACTGGGGCCTGCCTGCGTCTCTGGCCTTGTCAGACCTCAGGGGGCAGCAGCTCCCGCTGAGGCCAGGTCTGGGTGCTGCACCATCACGTCTTAGTCCCCCTCACCCTGCCCGCCCTTGGGTTGTGCCCTGTTTCCTGCCAGGACCCTGACCGACAGGCGGAGGGAGCTGGCAGCCTGCAGGCAGCAGCCTCTGCGGCAGGTGGGTGACCGAGTGTCGCAGACCTGTGGCTGCTGGTGTTCTGCAGCCAGGTGTCATCGACGGGCGGAGGCACAGGCGTGGACACGGTGCTGGTGCTGATGTCTCCGATGATGTTGAGCGCCTCCTTGAGCGCGTGGTACATGCGCAGCATGTCGTCCCGCCGCTGAGCCTGGTCGGCAGACTCCTCCATGAGACTGCTCTGGTCCGCTGAGGAGTACAGGTAGGCCAGCAGCTCGTGGTGAATGAAGGCCTTCGTCTGCGGGGAGCGTCGGAGACGTCAGGCCTTCCTCCCACCACGCCAACCAAGAGCTCAGCAGGCCGTTGCAACTGGATGGAAAAGCGTCCAGCGCACACGCGGGGCCTCCTTTGTACTTTACTATACCCTAGAGCGCGCAGTACGCACACAGCGCAGGTGGCTCGGCCACCCAGTGGTCTTCTGAGGCCCTCGGAGGTGCTTTTAGATGTCCTCCCACTCATCTTATCCCATCTCATTAGATTCTTGTTAAGCTTATTCTTAGTATCTCATCTCTTTCATTGCTCTCTTTTCTCCTAGTATATTTTCTATCCAGCTTTTGTTCAAACACTACTAGTTTCTGCTCATCAATTTTATACTTTGTCCCTTTTTGGATCCTCCTCTGGGACAGAGAAGTGTTTCAGGTACATTTCTTGGGGTTTCGAGGTACACAAGCTCGTGTGTACATGAGCTTCTACAAATAGGAATCATCTTTCTTGTTCTTTTTCAATGTTCATGCTGCTAAAATTATTTTTCTTGTCTAACTGCATTGGCTAGTAACATTGAAAGAGTTCAATAAAAGTGGAAATGACTGACTTCTTGATTTTAAAGAGAATGCTTCCATTGCTTCTTTTTGAGACAGAGTCTCGCTTTGTTGCCCAGGCTAGAGTGAGTGCCGTGGTGTCAGCCTAGCTCACAGCAACCTCAAATTCCCGGGCTCAAGCGCTCCTACTGCCTCAGCCATCCGAGTAGCTGGGACTACAGGCATGCGCCACCATGCCCGGCTAATTTTTTCCATATATATATTAGTTGGCCAATTAATTTCTTTCTATTTATAGTAGAGACGGAGTCTCGCTCTTGCTCAGGCTGGTTTCGAACTCCTGACCTTGAGCAATCCACCTGCCTCAGCCTCCCAGAGTGCTAGGATTACAGGCATGAGCCACTGCGCCTGGCCAATTTCTATTTTTAATAGAGATGGGGTCTCACTCTTGCTCAGGCTGGTTTCGAACTCCTGACCTTGAGCAATCCTCCCGCCTTGGCCTCCCAAAGTGCTAGGATGACAGGCTGAGCCACCACGCCTGGCCGTCATTTCTTTTTTAAAATAATGGACTATTAAGTGTACATTATTATTAATAAATGGATAGTTAATTCCAATCTGCGGTTATTATAGAACATTGTTGAAAAGAATAACCACGTACAAGTTCATTCTGCAGGTGGGGAAGTATCTGTTGGAGGAATTCCTCAAGGTCAAGTTGCTGGGGCAAAGCACATGTACGCATTTTAAATGTCATAGCCGCAGAGCCATAAATCACCAGTCCCATGTGTAGGTGACGAAACGCACCAGGACACCCATAAACTGTGAACACTAATCACCAACGAGGCAAACACGGCCTGCAGGTTTCTGTCTTTGACAATCCCAACACGCACCGCGCTACACTGCGGGCCTCACGTGAAAATCCCCCGACCCCTCCAGGAAGCTGAGCTACCTTTCACTCGAGTGGAGCCCAAAGCTCTGAGGCTCACGGGAACGTGGGGACAGGCAGGGGATGCCCAGGGGAGAGGGTGGACCGTGGCCCTGCCCATCCGGAGGCTGTGGCTGCCCAGCACAAGGCCACGGTCAGGACCCGACGGAGCCTGACCGCGGCTGTCACACTCACGTTGTTGATCATGAGGTGCATGATGGTCTTTGGCATGAGGTCGCGGATGGACTTGTTGATGATGGCCACGTACGAGTCCACCAGGTTGCGGATGGTCTCCACCTGCCGCTCCAGCTGCGGGTCCATGGAGAAGGTGTTCTCCTGGGCCCCGTCCTCATTCTCTGCCTGCAAACGAGGGAGACGGTGGTGGTGAGGGGGGACTGGGCCTGAGGCAGTCTGGGAGCTTCCTGCTTGCCCCACCGACATCCGACCCTTTTTGAGGCTGGCCCCTGGCAGCCCTGTTGGCACCATGTGGTCCTGCCCGATTCTGGCCAGAGCTGCCCAGACTTGGGGCGACCAGGTTGGATCCCGTCTCTCGGGGACTGGAACAACATGCTAGTTTGTTGGGGGCCGAGGGCAGCCGTGTTCACTCTACATCAAGGATGGGAGGAGAAAAGAGACAGCAAAGCTGATGGAATCCCGGTCCCTGTGGGTCCCTGTCCTAGGCTTCAGCTAGAGAACTTTCTGGGCCCTGAAGAAAAACTGTCCCCCCTTTTTGCTTTTTACACTCAAGTGGCTGTTGGCCAAGTGCCTTCAGAGAGTCCTGGCAAACGCGGCCTGGACGTGACCCCGCCACGTGGGACGGCGTGCCTTCCCCTCCCAGGCGGGGTCTGCTCAGCCCTAGGTGTGCCGGCCGGGCAGGGGCTCCTCACCTGGTCCTTCTCGGGGTACACCCCGGCTCGGAGGAAGGAGGCCTTCCAGCTGTCCACGTCCTCCTGGGAGTCACAGGCCAGCTCGATCTGCCGCAGGTCCTTGTAGACATTCCTGCGGCGGGAGGGAGGGGCGCACACTTGACCCTGACGGCCAGGGGATGGACCAGGGACTCAATCTCGACACACGCACTCATAACCGGAGGTGCCAGGGTGTCCCAGCACCTTCACCGGGCCGTGCAGAGGGGTCGCCGTGAGTTATGCCACCCACAGCAGCGGCACAGGGCCGAGCTCGGGGCCGGAGCTCAGAAGAGTCGGCATGCAGGGGAGTCTGTGCCCTCAGGGGACGTCTGTCCTTGCCTGGAACTGCCCATTCTGTCCTTCCTGTGGGAAGGTGGGCCAACGGCTGCCACCGAGCCCCCCGTGATAAGCACATGTCCCACGACATCCACCCCTGGCTGGGGAGCTCCGATCCAGGCATTTTCAGAGAGGCCAAGAGCGGTGTGGCCACCACAACTGTCTGCCATGGTGGAAACCGGCTCTACCTGTGTTGTCTGATGCGACAGCCCCAAGCCACAGGTGGCTTCTGAGCGCTAGGAACGGGGCCAGGGAGACGGAGGTGAATTGTAAATTTTATTTCATTTCAATTAATTTACACTAAATAGCCTGTACACCTCCCAGCTGCCTCCCCGCTGCCCCTTCCCCCTTGGCATGGCCCCACGTGAGTCCCTCACTGTCCCCAGGTCTACCCTGCTTGTGCTGTGCCCAGCTCAGCCAATGGCAGCAGCTTGGTCCCTGCAGGAGCTCAGACCCCAATCCTCAGGGTGGGCGCCAGCACCTTTCTTGTCCACATCCGTGTCCGCCAGAGGATGGACCAGCTCTGTCTGACGCTGCCTAGAACCTGCCATCCCCTACCCTGTATCCTTGGCCCCACAGGAGTCTTGTTCCATCACCTCCCAGCTGGAGTAGGCTGTCGCCTCTGCCTTGTACCCTGCCTCCCGCCCTCGTCTATTCCCTGCACGGCCGCCAGAGGGCGCCTGTGAGCACCTGAGCAGGCCCCGGTCCTCCCTCTGTTCAGAACCCTCCATGGCTCCCACCTCCCTCAGACCCTCCTTCAGTCCCCATCTCTGCCCACAGAGGTCGTCTCTGCCCCAGTGTCCGGAACACCCATGGCACTTTTCTGTTCCTCACCCGACTCCCTTTCTAGAACGTGAGACCCCAAAGCAGGGCCCGATAGCAAGTGCTCAATGAGTGCTGTCGAATGTCTGGGCAAGGCCATGGTCCCCATCCCGACCTCCGCACCCCCCGGGTCCCTGCGCGCCCCTCACCTCTGCTCCGTGTTGAAGATGGCGAAGACGTGCTTATTGGACATGAAGCCCTTCTCCACGTCGCGGATCTTGAGGTTGTCCAGGGGCAGCATGTACTTCTTCTCCTTCTCCTGAGGGCGGAAGGGGAAGGGGTCACCCTGGGCGGCCTATGTGACAACTCAGGATGTCCCAGAGTTCTGCAGCCGGAGCATGCAGAACACACCAGACCCGTGTCTTGCGCTGATGTACCTAGGTGACTGGCTGCCACCAGACGGTGGCAGCGGCTCCTCAAGGGTAGGAACTCCGACTGTTTGGCTCCCCTGACACTCACAGGGGACGCTCAAATCAGTCAGCGTTGTGCCCGGAACCCAACCATTCCCCCCTGCAGATGGGGTGCGTGGAACCGTCTTCGGGGCTTATGTCTTCCCGAGGAGGCTACGACTGAGTTACCACCACGAGCCCATTTTACAGAGAGGGAGACTGAGGGACAGAGAGGGACCGGGCTGGGATTCATGGCCTGGCTGCTTCAGACGATTCCAGAGCTGGAAGAGTGATGCTGGAGCCCAAAGCTACTGAAGTGTCACTTGCTTTCTAAGGGTGGCCTCGTTCAGCAAGCGCCCACCAAGGGACGGGCACGGCCATTCCCATCGCTGGCAGGGAGGCAGCTCAGAGAAGGCTCGCCCCTCGCCAGGGCCACAGGTGGGAGTCACGGAGCTGGGGTGGCACCGGAGCCTGCACCCACCCGCCCACGCTGGCTGAGCAGCTGCTGCGGTCCCCATCTGGTGCTGGGCACCTCGGGGACATCATTTCTGGTCCCCATTATCCTCTCCTGGTGGGGGTGGGGGGTAGTGGCCAGGGTCTCTGACCCCTACGCCCACGTGATCCACAGCAGTGGCCCCCAGTGACCGATGCCGAGTGTTCATGGAATCCCCCTTAAAGCCGCTTATGGGGACACGGCACTCAGAGAGGGAAGCTGGCTGCCCAGGGCCACACAGCGGGACCTCAGAAGCCGGGTTCGCTGCACTGCACCTGGGGGGGCCTCCTGCACCACCTGAGCACCTTTGGGGGATTCTCACACGTCCTATCACTGGGACATGGCCCCGTGGGAGGGCCCCAGACTGAAGCCTAACGTGTCTGCTGCTTCCAAATGCAAGAGCAGCCTCAGGGACAGGGAAGGGGACAGGGGCTCCGCTGGGAGCTTCAGGACCCGGCAGGGGAGGCGGGCACAGGCTGGGCACATGTGGCGTTAGGAGCTCAGCACGGCTGAGGTCGATGGCAGCTCTGCCCCTGCCCAGCCACGTGCCCTCGGGCCGTCGCTTCCCCGCCTGTGCCTCGGTGAGGACAGCCAGCTGTGCACTAGGCCATGGCGACGCGCTGAGCGCGGTGCCCACTGCACAGACGGGGCTCACGGGGCCCGGGGGTTTCTCTCCTTGCCCTTTCAGGGGGCTCTAGGTCAGCCCACAAGGTTCTGGGCCAGGGGGCAGCAGGGCAGCTGGGGCGCCATGGAGCGAGGACGCCCTGCCCCCACCCACAGCGCAGCCAAGACGCCTGTTCCCATCGTCCCCAGCCTGGGTCCCGCGACCTCTCAGGGAAGAGTTCTGGGGGCTTTAGAAGGGGCCGGGGTTGGGGGAGGGGCTTGGTGGGAAAGCCTGGAAGTCTGCACGGGCCTCTGCCGCCCTGACCCTATCTCGTCACGAGGCCGGAATCAGCCGGCCAGCCAGGCCAAGTAACTAAGTCACAGTCCGCCCCGGCTCCCAGCGAGACGCCACATCTGGAAGCGTTTAGAGTGTGATTCCGCCCAGAACGCAGCGGCGGCCCTCCTGGTGTGGCCGGCACGCACACGCACGCGTGCGCCCTTCCTCCCTGCCCGACCCCCAGAGAGCCAGACCTCCCCCTGCGCCGAAGCCGCAGACCCAAACCTTCCCTCCGGCCCCTCCCCCTCTCTTTAGGATTTCCTGAAAACCCAGAACTTTCTCCAGATGCAAGCGGGCCCCAGCCTTGCCACGTCAGAGGGGTGGGAGCGACTGTCGCGGCAGGAGCGGAGGCTCGCTCGCCTGCTCGGAGGCACGGAGGCGCAGCGGCCACGCGGGGGCCGGGGACAGACAGCCGGCCCCGCCGGCCCAGTGTTCAGACTACCTGTTCAGGGGCTGCTGCACGCGTACAGTAGTCTGCACATTGGTTAGGCTGGGCTCGGCGAGCGGCGACAGGGCGGCCCCCCACGGCACCCCCAACTTTCCGCCACCCACAGAGCGAGGAAGACTGGAGGTGAGTGTCATCTTTCAGCACCCGCTCCCTCCCGGGGTGGAGACTCACCAGAAGGTTCTGGACTAAAGAGGGTGGGGAGGGGAGGCTCTGCAGAACGGCAGGGGGACCCTGAGGCCAGCCGAGGGGCTGGGGCTCCGGGGGAGTTGTCCCTTTACTCCTGCCCCTCGGCTGGCAAGGCCTCCTCTTGTTTATTTCATAAATAAAGACAGACTGATATCCTGCCTTTTGCTGAGGTCTCTTTAGAAGGTGGCCCGTCCCTTGGGAGTGGCGGCCACACGGGGGACGCCTGCTGGGATCCCCACTCGGGCAGTGGGGGTCTGGATCCCACACGGGCCGCAGGGTCTGAGCCGGCTTTGTGACCCCATTACGCCGCGCCCAGCGCTCCTGCCTCTGGCCTGGGGCCCCGAGGGGGGTCGGGGCTCGAGCTTTCGGACCCCAGATGAGGAAAACACCAAGGGCTGTCCCCGAGTTGAAGAAGAGGCGACTGAAAGCCACACCTGCCCTGCCAGCTGCCGGGCAGCCGCTCGGGCCCTGAAGCCCCTCTATGGCTCCCACGCGGGAGACCCCAGAAGCCCCCCAGCCCCTAAGCTGAAAGGCGGGGGCCGGCCCTCAGTCACCCCATGGCGCAGCGGGGGTCTGCAGCGGGAGGCGGGAGAGGGAGAGGGTCGCGACAATCCGCAGGTGCACGTGGCATCCCCCCCCCCGCCCTGCACACCGCCTGGCCGCATCCCGCGCTACACCGACAACCTTGTGAGCGCTTCCTGGATCTGGGGTTCTAGAGGGTTCCATGAGCACCCCAGAAATGCTTGTATGGCAGCTCTGCAGACCCTACCACCCTGGGTTTAGAAACAGCCCCCCACTCCGTGGGTTTGGGGCTCTCAAGGCTCCAGGAACTTTCCAGGGCCGAGGCTCTGGCCTTGTGTGGAGGGGGTGGTCACCTACCCGCCCCCCCACCCCTGGGAGGGACCACATCAGGCCTGGGCTGTGTGTGTGGGGGGTCCGGACTCGTGGCTGAGGTGTCCTGCGGGTCGGGGAGCGTGTGCCCGCAGACACTCACAGGCCAGGCGCCCACCCCATGAGGGACCCTCCCTGTTCAGTCAGGGGGGACAGACTGCTCAGAGCCTCAGGCTCCTCGCCTGGCAAATGGGGGTGACAACAGTGCCACCTGCAGGGTGGTGTGAGGATTTACTGAGGAGGAGGAAGAGGGTGCCCTTCACATGGGGCCTCAGGGGGCTCCCACCCAGCTGGCCGGGCACAGGGCAGGAGCTCCACAGAAACTAGGACCGTCCTCGCCCTGCAATGTCCCCGGGCCACACACTAAGCCCAGGTGATGCACACAGGTTCGGCTGCGTCGCCCCAGCCAGCCCCCAGCAGGGGGCGCTCGCACAGAGCGTCCCCCAAAAGCGCAAGAAGAGAGTGGTGGGGCGAAACCAGGGGCAACCAGAGAAGCCTGGCCACTCCCCTGAGGTCACCTCGGCTGTGGTTGGTGGCTGTGCCATACCAGGGACAGTTTGGACTGGCCAGCCGGCCAGCCCTGTACCCAATGCAGCACCGAAGGGTCAACCATCATGCGCTCAAGGTCATGCACAGCCCTGGAGCCAGCCCTCGCCCATGGTGTGGTGGGGTGGTGGTGGGGGGGGAGTTTAGTTCCCCCCTGCTGAGCATGGCTGGGGGCACTAAACGGAGGTGACCTCCAGGACAAACCGCTGGACACAAGCAGTGAGCCAAACAGAGCACTGGGCGGGGCACCAGGACTCCCCGGTTGGCTCCCACAGGGCAGAGGGGGCAGGTCACAGTCCTGACTTTATAGGTGGGGAGCTGACAAGACACAAAGCGTTGAGGCCACCTGCCCAAGGTCCTGGTGAAATCCCAGACATGGAGCCCACGCTCCCGTGCTCAGAAGCCACCAAGCGCGAGAACTGTTAGCCGGGCTCACGGCCCACGCTCTTGCCTTTCCCTGGGCCACCAGAGGCTCCGCGCAGTGATGGGCACGGGGCAGCCATCTTGGGCCACAAGGGGAGCCCTGTGTTAAGGTGGCAACAGGGAAGGCAGGGCCGGATCCCAGACAGACTCGTGGCACAGGCCACCAAGCTCACCAAGACACGAGCAAGAAACAGACTTCCGTCCTTGTAAGTCCCTTTGCTTTGGGCCTCTGTGACGGACCCCTGGATAGCCTCGAGGCCTCTAAACTTCACTGCGGCCAAGCACCACAGCGTGGGCAGGGACCATTCTACCCCACTTCACAGATAGGGAAACTGAGGCCCTGGCGGGTCCCGTAGGCGATGGAAGCCACGCAGCCGCGGGATGGAAGTCCCTGACCCACGGCTGTGTCCCCTTTTGTGAACTTGAGGCTCAGTGTGCCCTGGAGGCCGTGGCCTGTTTCCAGCCTGCGGGCGGGTCCCTCACCTGCCACCCCGCTACTCCTTCCGGTAGCCCACCTGCCGTGACGCCTGACCCGGCAGGGGCCGAGACAGTGCGTGTGCCACCGCTGGTGCACCAGGGCTCCCTGCAGCCCCATAACGGTCCCAGTGGCGAGGTCCGGGGCATGCTGGCACGGTGACAGTGAGTGAATGAGTGCCACCCAGAAGGAGCGTCCGATCTCCCCGCCCCCGCCGGCCACTCACCTCCTCGTCCTTGTACCAGGACAGTGACTCGGCCGTCAGCACGAACCAGTACTCCTTGGAGCCGCCCTTCATCAGGCTGATGTTGTTGATGGTCAGCCAGCCCCTGCGGATCACCTGGGGGGGAGCGCGCGGCTTAGCGGGGGACGGCGCCCTGCCGCCCGGCCCGCTCCCCCGCACAGCGGACAGCGCCCCTGCCCCCGCAGCAAGACGGAAAGCTGGGCCGGCACACACCTCCAGCCCGAAGCCAGGAAGGCACTGCCACCCTTCCCCAAGCACTTCCACCGAACAGACACCGTCTCCCTGGGCCCGGGCTCACGGGGAACCGGGTCGCCCCCACAGCGCCTCTGCACCCAGAGTTCCGTTATTAGCACAGCAGGCCAACGGCACCGGGGGGAACGGGGTCCAGAGGAGGTGTCTCCGGCTTGTGTTTGGGGCTGTGGCATGTGGCACGTGACACCTGAAGGTGGCTGTCGCTGCAGGGCTGGAGGAAGCGCCCGTGCCGTGGAGGGTCTTTCTCGCTGTCTGCTCGGGGCTGAGTGGCAGAACCTCACCGTGCACGGCCTTGGCTGCTGCCCTCGCTGTGGGCTCACGCGCTCCCAGCTCACCAGTTGTGGGGGACGACTCCACCCAAGGGACGGGGACAGAGGTTTGAGCCCAGGGGACCTCCTAAGGGACCCCATAAGGACTGTCAGGGCTGGAGATTATGCCCCGTGCTGGTGTCAAGCCAGGTGGCCCCATTGTTCCCTGATACCCCAGGGCTCTGGGCTGGGGACCCCATTCATGGGGCTCATGGGCCACAGCTGTCATCTGAGTGGGGGGCAGAAGCCAGGCCGGGGCAGGGGACTCACTCCGGACTGGGGTCGCCGGGGTAGCGGGAAGCGCATGGAGACATGAGCAGGGCCACGGCAGCGACAGGCTGTGCCAGGCCGCACAGGGGGGCCGAGCGTGGCCGGGGACAGCTAGAAGGGCTGGCAGAGCAGGAGCACCAGAGACGGGGCCCCCGGGATCAGTCTGGGGCCTGTCCTAGTAGGTGCCCTCTGCCCCTCCACATGGTCACATGTGGGCTCCGATGAAGACACAGGTGGTTACAGAGCCCCCTGTGCCATACGGAAGTCCCTGCCCAGGCTGGGGACACATGAGATGCTATCTGGTGCCCCTTGTCAAGGTCAAGGAAACAGACTTTCCCTCCCTGGGATGACGAGACAGCTCTCGGGGCTCTGGCAGCTATCTGGGGCAGGCAGTGACCTCCGGGACCTGTCCGCCCGCGGGCTGCCTGGCAGGTGAGGGCGAGCGGGCCAGCAGCCCCAACAAGGTCACAGCATCCTCCCTGGCAACGGAGTAACGGGCTCGTCCCTGTTTGCCCAGGGTGTCCTGATGCTAGCACGGAAGGCTCAGCATTCTGGGAACGCCTTCGTCCACCCAGGGTGGCAGGGTCAGGGGTCGCTGGCCTGGTCTCAGCCCAGGGCCAGACACAGAGTGAATGCTTAGCAGACCTTGGTTCAGTCATTGAATGACAAGCAGGGGAGGGAGAACAGGGGACAGGCTGTCAGGGCTCCCCCAGAGGAGAAATCGCCACATGGTGACCTCCACCCCCCACTCGTGAGCCCAGCACAGTTCCCCAAGGTGACAGCTGTGCCGATGCCCCTTCTATGGCCTGGCGTGTTGCCTCCACCCAAGGTTTGTAGGTGCCAGAGCTGGCGGACGCGCTCTGGGTGTGCTTTGGAGGTGTGTGGCCATGGGGGGACGTGGCCTGGCCAAAGCCCCCGAGATGCCCTTCCCCAGAAGGGCTCAGAGGTGGAATCCCACCCAGGGGGCAGCAAGCAGTGGGCGGCAGACACAGGCACTACCGAGTCCAGAGAAAAGGGAGGGGCGGGCCTCCCCATCAGAAAGCCAGATGTGTGCCCAAGGGACACATCCCAAGGACTGGGCTTAGAAGGAAGCAGGGCGGGAGACAGAAGGGACAGGCAGGGTCCTGCAGGCTGGGGTGCACAGTGACTGGCATGCAGGCGCACAGGGGCAGCTCGGGCAGCAGGAAGGGGGTGGCACAGCGGGACCACAGGCAAGCTGGGCCGGCTCCTCCCAGGGTGAGGCTGCTGGCCTGAGTCACCCGGGCAGGGAGGGAATCCATGGCTGAGCTGTGTGGCTGGGGTTGTGGCATTTGGTAGGAAAAGAATGACTGAACCTCTCGGGGTGAGAGGTGAGCAGGTGCCTGGCCTGGCCTGTTTGGGGGAGGACATTGTACAAGTTCAACTGTGACTGGGGAGGGACATGGGGGGAAAGCAGGAGCCACAGGCCCACGGCCCGCTGAGTGGTTCCGCCACCACCGCCACCCATCCAGGCTATTGCTTTGGCCCTGCCTGCATCTTCCACGACCTGGAGGCAGGGAGGCTCTGGCACAGGATCCGCCTGGCTACTGGAAAGATCCTAGGGTCACCAGAAGATCTCTGCCAGAGGCCAGCGGCACAGCCCACCCAATGCCTCGGTGGCTGGCAGTGGGGGGTACATCCCGGAGCAGGGAGCCTCGGTCAGGGGTGAAGCCTGGCTGCCTAGACGTGAGCACCTTGGAACAGGCTCAGGCTCAGAGGTGAGCAGTCTCTGCACCAGTGTTACCTACAAGGGTGGCAAATACGATTGATCATGGCGGGCCGCACCAATCGATCAGCAGGAGCTGCCTGCAGCACTGCGCTGAGAATTCTGGGCCATGTGGGAATGGGTGCTAGGATCAATTAGAGATGTCTGTCACAGGCAAAGGATGAGAGAAGGGAGCAAGTGGAACAGAACAGTCTCACCAATGAGCATATCGCATCTGCCATGGAGGCAGGATAGTGGCAGCACCTAGGAAGGCAGCCCTTGATCGATTAGTCATGCCTGCCATGGGTACAGGAGGGCATTTGGCACAGGGGAAGAAATTATCATCAGATAGTTACACCTGCCACAGAACAGGAGTGACAGCATGCTTACTGGGAAAGAATGCCAGGATTGACTAGCAATGTCTGCCATGGGCACAGGATGGAGGAAAGGTACAAGGGGAAGGAGTGCTAGATCCATTAGTCATGTCTGTTACGGGCAGAGGAGGGGAAAATGTCTGGATTTACACGGGAGACAGAAGGAACAGCAGCAGCAAGAACAAATTCTAGAGCAAAATCTTCTATGGCCAGGGAGGTGAGGGGAGGCAGGGGCAGTGTGTCAACCGAGTATTTGCCATCCCTGACCTGTAGGAAATCAGGCGAACCTGCCAGGCATCGGCTGCAGGGGTGGGCCTCCCACAAGAGTGGCGGTCAGTTAGCGTTACACCCAGGGCAACACGAACGAAGCCCAGGGTCAGCTGGGGCATGGGGTGTCCAGGTTAGCTCAATTTTTAGTATTTTCCTTGTTTTATTGTTTTTTGCAGGAGGCAGGGAGGGCGGGGTCTCCATCACTACTAAGTTCTCTAGCGTTTGCTACCACACTAAGCAGGTACTTACCAAGATCTCCCCCTTTGAAAACGCAAAGTTAGGATTGTGGGTAAATCAAGGAAGAGCGGGCAGAGGAAAAGAGACGAGAGGGACGTGAAGGGGACAAAGAAAAAGCAGGAACAGCACAAAAAAGGGGGAAGAGAACAGCAGAGGGAAAAAACAGCAAAAGAAAAAAAAATTACATGCTATTAATCAAATTCATGGTGTTAATAATATTTAATTCATTATCACTTCCCGAAACAAAAAAGCACGACATATGTATTACCTACGGCAAGCGCAAAAAAAATTCATGCAGTGGTTATGTTCGTCCTTCCAACGGGCTCTACAGTCGTGCGAGGGGGACAGCAGGGCCCCGCCCCCACCCAACGTGGAGAAGGGAGGAGGGTGGTGGAAATTTTGCAAAGATAATGGGTTTTCTTATAAAAGAAAGAAAAAAAGACACCGGATGCTGGCAATTTATAAAGCCATTCATATCTCACGTGGCACCGGGCTGGGGCAAATTGTCAAGGTAGAAAACCCTTCACGTGGCTCAAGGTTTCCCCAGGTGTGGGGCCCCCTGAGCTGCTGGTGACAATGCAGCCACCCACCGGTCCCACCTGCAGCCTCTCAATCCCTGGGACGGAGCTGGGAAGGCCTGATTAGGTCAGAGACCTCTGGCTTGAGGGTCAAGGGCTAACCCTGACCTTGGATGTCAGACAGGAACTTCTGGGTGGCTGAAATTTGCCCCCTAGACCCTGCCAGAGTGTCAGTTCTTAGATCGTTTTCCAGAAACATCAACCACGAAGTGGACAACAGGGGCCGAGAGAGTGGGTGGCCCTGTGCGAAGGTTTCTGGCGGGGCATTCCATGCGCCCGATGCCATTGCTGGGGCTCGGTGGCCTCTTAGTGCCCTCCCACCCCCCAGGGTGGAGTGGCAGGGTGCGGAGGGGGTGGCTACCTGGTTGGGGATGGCCCTCTTCTTGTTCAGCTGCGTGCTCCTCTGCTGTGCGCTGAAACCAAAGCACAGGGAGGGTTCATGTGGACGAGACGCCGGGAGGAATGAGGAACAAGGCCCTGACCTCAGACCACCCTGCAAAGTGCCAGCTATTTCCAGAAGTCAATAAATTCTGGAGTTTCTAAGAGGGAGGGAGCCATGAGAAGCTAGAGTCCCAGGTGGCTGGGAGGTAGCCATGGTGCCTCTAGGGTCACCTGAGCAGCAGGCTGGTTGGGGGTCACTAACTTTTCCCAACTCTGATCCCAAAGCCTGGTTGCAAGTGGCTCTAACCACAGGACAGTCTAGCCTGGGAGGTCTGACCATGTGACCACTGTTCACCATGAAATGCCACTCATCTTGCACAATTCCTGACCAAAATTCAGAAGACATTCAAGGTCAACTGGGCGGGTTTTCTGCAAGCTTCCTTGTTTGTCTATAGTCCCAGATCTCTTTTCTTCTTTCTCCACCCTATTTCCTGGCTAGTCCACGCTGCATTTTATAAGTGGGCACCTACTCCACCCCTTGTTGGTTCTCTTATATGTTCTACTCCGACAACCCTATCACCACCTGCAAACAATTTATATCTCTTGCTACTTATCCATTGTATTTTCTTTTCTTATCTTATTGCTTTAGCTGAAACTTTCAGAACGATATGAAAAAGCAAATCAGCCTGGTCACATTCCTTTCCTGACTGCTTCTGGGGTTTGGCTTTAGAGTTCAAGTTGGCTGTTGGATAAGGCAGGAAGTAGGCTTCTGTTTCAAGTTCAGTGTAGTCTACAAAACTAAGAATAGAGGCGGAATTTTAGCCAATGATTATTCTAACATTCAGTGAGTTTATGACAGGGCTTTTGCTGTGGGCCCTGTTTTTCGTGTTTAAAGGGCAGTGAGAAACCCACAATGTCTGAGGGAGGACTTTGATCAACAGCAGTTGAACTAGGGGTTACCAAGCTAAGCTAACCTTTGCAGCCATGTCCGGGTGACACTGAGGACCCTTATGTACCATTTCCTAAGGGCTTCCTGGGTCCCGCCCTCATCCCAGCTCCCTCAAACAGTAGCCCACATGGTGACCCCCCTCCTTTTCCTGGATTTTCCACGTGCCTTGAGGAATAATCCAACATCCTGCTCTTGGCCTGTGGGGCCCTCCTGGTGACAAGGTCTGGCCCTCTCACCTCCACCTTGCCTCAGTCTACTATGCTGTTTTGTCCTGCAGTGTGACTTCCCTGTTCCCAATTCTCTGGGGTCCCCTGCCAACACCTGGCTGTCATGACTTCCTTAGAAAGGTCTCTCTAAGCCACATCTTGGGAACTTTTCCTTTTTTTTTTTTTTTTTTCGAGGCAGGGTCTCAGTTTGTCACTCATGCTAGAGTGTAGTGGCGTCATCAAAGCTCACTAGAGCCTGGAACTCCTGGACCCAAGTGATCCTCCTGCACCGGCCTCCCAAGTACCTGGGACTATGGGTGTACACGACCATGCCCAGCTAATTTTTTGTGGAAAAGGGGTCTTGCTATGTTGCCCAGGCTGATCTTGAATTTCTGGTCTCAAATAATCATCCTGGCCCTTCAAGGTGCTAGGACTACAGGTGTGAGTCACTGCACCCAGACCCTACCCCATTTTCCTCCTCTCATTGTGCTTGTGACACTTGGTTTCACAATGCCACCTCCGCAGCCTGCAGGCTCTGAAAGGGCAGGAGCTACAGCTGGCCCGTCCCCTGTCCTAGCTGAATGGCCCAACACTGGCCTTGGCTCTGAGAGCGCACCCGGTCGCTCCTCAGTGGGCCCCTGGGATGTCCCACCCAGGGCTGGGGCCACCCAACCAGGGCGTCCCCATTCACACACCAGGCGAGAGGCACACAGCAGGCAATACCCACCAGGTGACCAGCTGCTCAGTATAGTAACAGCTGGGCGAGGTGGGAAGGCCCAGGAGTCCAGAGGAAAGAGTGGAGTGGTCAAAGGAAAAACAGGAGAGAGTGTGAGAAGGAACTGTGGATGAAGTGTGAGAAGCAGAGACATCAAGGTAAGGAAAAGACAACAGCAGTGAAACCAAAGAGGGGACCAGCGGCTGCAGCCCTCGCGCACTTGGAGACCCGAGGAGCAGGGGCGGGAGGGGCGGCCCAGCTCCAGGGCTCCCCAGGCCACCTCCTGCAGGGACAGCTCGGTGAGGGCTCAGGGAGGAGCTCCTGACGACACCCTCCTTCCTTCCTCTACCCTCCTCTCTCGCGCAGCACAGAACAGACCAGCAATCGACTCCGTCGGGCACATTGATAAACGTCCCACCCGGGTGACTACGCAGCCCAGAAAGTGGCTCTAGCGGCCATCCTCAAGGAAGCCTGCCCCGGCCATCAGGGCCAGCCAGAAGGCCACCCTCGGGGCTCCCATGGGTCCTGCACAGCCAGCACCAGCACTGAGCACACCGTGTCATAACTGCCTGGGCGCCCGTCTGTCCCTTGTCCCCGGGGCCTTCATCTGAGGGTGGGGGCCTGGGACTAGGCTTACTCACTGCTCCGTCACAGGGCCCGGCAGGACAAGGCACAGCGCGGCACCTGCTAAACTACAAGGAAGGTGGCTAGCGAGGGGCTGTTATGCTACCAGCCTCAGGCCGGAAGACTTTCGTGGGCCATGGGAACAATCCAAGTGATGCCTAAGCTCACAGACAGGTCCAGGGGCTGAGGGGCGACACCTGGGACAGCCAGCATTTATATCTACATCCTGGCGAAAGCAGAGATCCACGCCCTGGCCCCTCACCTGGGGGCCATGGAAGGTTCTGGTGTTAAATCTACAGTGTATGCCTAGAAGACAGAAAGACCCCAAGCGGCACTTCCCAAAGAGCAGCCTCCGGAGCCCTGAACCTGTGAGATGCCGTCTATGAAAGGGCCAAGTCTGGGAAAAGGATGCATTGGCCTGTGAAGGCTCTGACAAGTCCTGCAGGAGGCGGGGGAAACCTGCAGCTGGCTGGCCTGGCCCTTTCTCCAGGCGCCTGACCACAGGATCGCGCTCTGTTCCTTCTGCTGACCGCTGGGAGAGCCAATGGAAGGCTGTTGGTTGGGGACATTGGGACAGGAGCCACTGGTAGCCCAGGAAAGCTTCCAGGTGTTGTCAAGCTGCTCTGCCTTCACCCCAGGACCCCTGACGGAGACCCTCCGAGGAAGCCCAACTGCACCGCCTCCCTGGCTCTGAATGGCCGCCGACCGGCCAGCCACTGTCCCCAAAAGTACATACTTGGCGAATCCAATGAAGTCCTCGTGGTTCGTGTTGATGTAGGACTGTTCGATGTCGATCAGAAGAAGAATCTGAGGGAGAGCAGGGGTCACCCTTGAGCACACGGCCAAGCACAGTGGGAGGCGCAGGGCTGGGGCCTGTCCGGAACCGGCCAGCAGGGGGCGCCCGGGAACCGGACGGCCTCCCAGGCAGGAGAACAGAAGCCACATCCGGGCCACCATGGTACCACACGCCCCCCAGGGGAGACCCATGGGGAGAGCGGGGTGGGTGCTTCCAGACGCCAGGGCCTCACAGCCAGGTCGGCCTGGCCACCAACAGAGCAGCGCCAGAAAGCAGAGCCCAGCAAGGTGGACATGGGCGTGGCCTCTAGGGCTGACCACTGGGGGCTAGAGTCTCAGCTCGGCCACTAAGTGGCCATGTGACTCTGGCCCTCCTGTTAGCGAGCCATGGGATGGGGCCATGGGACGGGGCGACAGGACGCCCAACCGCAAAGACTTCAATAATTTCCAAGCAACCCCCCGCCCCAATGAGTCCTGCGTTAAAACTGCAACGCTACTTTGGCCAAGTGAAAACATTAAAATAAAACACGACACACATAAGCACCCATGCACGTATGTACACATATGTGCATACACGCACACACATGCACAAACACGCACGAGCTGGAAAGGATTCACTCTCCGATAAGGCACCTGCCAGGTCGCTGCTGCGCGTACTGAAACCCTCCCTAATCCTTCGTGTCCCGTGTTGCCCAGGATGGGGTGGCTCTATGGGAACCGCAGGCCCAGACAACTGGCTGGCCTGGTTCCTGCTGAGAACGGGCCAGGCTGTCAGGAGGGGGGAGGGGCTCAGGGGCCCCCACTGGCCCTGGGCCAGTCCTTCCCCCTCGGTGTGCCTCCGAGTCCTCAAACATAAAACAGGGCAAAGCACTCGGATCTCGTGGGGTTGCTGGAAAACGCCAGAGTGCTCTGTCCGTGACAGCCACTGCTGGACGAGGCCCGAGTCTCGCCAACCCAGGACTCTCAGATCACCCCCGGCAGGGTCGCCTGGCGGGCGTCAGGGGCCGTGGCGGATCTGGAAGGGGCAGCAGCGTTCTTGCCAACAACAACACAGAGACTCGGACGCTCTGAAGGTTTTGACAGAGCCTCCCGGCTGCAGCAGCTACGAGGGGACAGGCACTTAGACCGGCTCTTCGAGGGGACAAATGACCAAATCAAAACGGGGGGGCCTGTGAAGCACCAATGAGCTGGTTTCGTCCCCATCCATGGCGAGAGGAGAGGGGACTGTCGTACGCAAAGTGATGTAACAAGCACATACAACACACACGCTCCATTCCAGTCTGGTTTGAATGCACAGTTGCACAGAGGGCAGCGGGGACAACAGAGGGACGTGACTCGAAACAGGTGCTGGGCTATATGAAGGCGAAACGGTGGCCCGGGGCTCAGCAGGGGACAGTCTGGGCAGGCGAGCCTCGTGCTGCAGAGGGGGACAGCTAAGTGGGGGTGTGTCCTGCGCTACCTTTGTGTGCTTTCGTGGCTTTGCTAGAAAATGTTAAAGCACAAAAAGGACCCCAAACGGCCTCTGGCGGGCAAGTGGGCAAACAGGCCAAGCTCTGTCCACTCCGTGAACACTACACGGCAATCAAAGCGACAAAGGACGGATGCACTCCACAACGACACGGATGATTCTCAAACGCATCATAACCAGTGGCGGAAGCCAACAGTCAAAAGGCCACATACGGGAGGAGTCCACTCAGAAACCTTAGGGACACGGAGGGGACCAGCAGTGGCCAGAGCCTGGGGGTTTGGGAGGGGGTGACAACAAAGGGGCCAGGGGTGGGAACTTAGGGGCGACAGAAGCGCTCCGGATCTTGACTGAGGGGAGGGTTACACGTTGCTGCGCGTGTCAACGCGCGTAGAACAGCGCACCCAAAATCGACCACATCTGAATCGTACCTGAAAATAAAGACAAAAGCCAATACCTGGTCCTTGGTCCTCCCCTCCCGTTCCCGGATGTAAGTGGTGACGATTCGCTCCGTCTCCTCTCGCAGCCGTGGGTAGGAGCCGAGCTGGGGAGCGAGCAGAGAGCCGCGTTGGCTGGGTCCTCGTGGCCCAGGACGCCACATGCAGCACACGCGTGGAGTGCGTGGAGGGAGACAGGGGGACCCACCGAGTCCCCACCCTGCTCCTGTCTCCCTGCCAAGCTGGGAGACAAGAGCACAGTGGGGGCGCCGTGGGCGGGAGAGAAACCGGGGCGCCCACGCGAGAGCAGAGCCGCCTTTCGAGCCAGCAACTGGGAGGTGGGAGGTGGCAGAGGAAGCAGGTGGCTTGTTTGCCGCCCGGAGGGCCAGGCAGCTCCTCCCGCCCCGCGCTGGGTGGCAGCGGGAACCCCGAAGGCCTCTGCCAAGCTCGTGAGCTCAAGGCTCCTGTTCTAGGACGGCGGGGTCGCATCTGGGCCGTCAGCCTCGGAGGGACACCCCTAGCGGAAGGCCACTCCTGGTGGTGCGCCTTTGGCACCCACTCCCCTACCAGCCCCGCTGCCCCGGGCCGTCCCTCAGCAGTGGCCCGACCAAACCACGTTCAAGGTGGAGTGGCATGTGCCAACGTGGAAGGCCGGGTACCCCTGCGGACGGCCACAACCGCAGAGATGGGACACGCATTCGCTGCAACTGTCCCATCTGCAGACGCGGTCCCGAGACATGGCCAAGCCACGGCTGGTGCACAGAGGGGTTTCCTGCCGAGGCAGAACTTTCCAGATGCTCGGGTTGAGACGAACGAATGAAAGTGGGGGGGGAGGCGGGGACAGATGCGGAGATGATAAGAACGAAACCTGTTACCTTCTCGGCACACTTTTTAATGACCGTGGCCAGTTCTGAGACCACGAGGTCAACACACTTCAAACTTGGCTCTTTGAGTTTTACAATCTGTTTTTTCACAATGGCTTCAAAGGCCATGTCGGGGGTGAAGAGCCCCGTCCTGGGTCATGCGGAGGGCGGGACGAGGCAGAAAGACACCCAGAGACAGCGCAGGCCACACACACGGGACAGGAGACAGAGAGAAAGAAGAAACCAGTGTCAGCAGTTAGTCCATGCACGGAGGAACCTGCCCGCATTTGCCCCGGAAGCTGCTTCGGATCACGGAGGACCGGGGGCTGGGTGGTGGGATCAGGCCGGGATTTCGTTCTAGAAGTTCTAGAAGTGCTGGGGGTCACTGTCATCTACAGACAGCCAAGGTGCGCGGAGGCCTTGGATTTGCATGTCCGTGACAACGGGCTCCGAGATGACAGTCTCCAGCCCCACGGGGTTTCTCTCCCCCCTCCCTTTTCCAATCCAAGGAGCTTAGGCAGCAAATGTGGGCTTTTCCAGACCGAGAACAGAGGGCTCAAGCAGAAATCCCCTGGCAACCCGAGCGCTGGGGACACGGGCTGCGCACGCACAGGCTGCCACTGACCGGGAGGCACTTCAGCGGCTGGGCCAAAGCACGCTGCCCTGGGAAACAGGCCCGGGAGCCCGGGGCGTCCTGCCGAGTGGAGGGGCCGCTCACCGACAGCGCACAGAGGCGCCGTGCCTGAGAGAATGCGGGGGACAGCCGGGGCGCAGGGAGCGGCGGGGACACCCGGGAGCCCAGCCGGCTTTGTCACGCTGGGCACGGGCACTCCTTGTGCTGCTGGCATGTGGGCCCTTCCCAGCGCTGCGCGACACAGACGTCGCTGGCTCCAGGGAAGCCGGGGGAGGCTGGGCACTTGCCAACAAGGGGTGCCAGCTGGGGAGGTTCAGGGAGCTCGGCCTCCAGCAAGGACGCGGGTCCCTCTCTGCTTCCCAGAAGGCAGCAAAGCGACAGCCCAGTGGAGCCCCAGCTCCGTCAGACACATGCTAGGCTTGGTATCAGGGTCCCAGCAAGACGTGCCCAGCAGTCTGGCCAGTTTTGGACGCCCGGCACCCCCGGGCGGGCCCGGGCTTGGATGCTCCCACCCCGGCCTCCGGCTAGAGGCCACGTTCATGGACACCGGGGCCATCTCGGGGCAAATGGCACCAGTGGGGTCGATGCCGCACGGGGAGCCTGATACCAAACCCCCGGACCCCCGTTTCCGCAAGGCTGGGATCACCCTGCCGAGGGCGCAATACCTTGCTGGTACACTGCCTAACTGTACTGATTAGCTCCTGGATAACCAGGTCGACGCATTTCAGACAGGGCTCTTTCAGCTTCACGACCTGCTTTTTCACAATGGCCTCGAATGCCAAGTCCGGGGTGAAGAGCCCGGTCCTGAAACCGTCCACACCCGGGGGCAGGGGAGATAAGTCAGAGAGAAACAAAGCACGGTCAGCAATTTCCTAGGCACTGGCTGGGTCCCCGACAACGAATCAAGGTCACATCAAGTCTGGGGGTCGGATGCCTGGCTCCGCCGCCAGGAGCCCCAGTGTGACCCGAGGACCCCGTGGTGACGAGTCCAGAGACTGGGGCGACTCTACCTTTGCTAGGCTAGGGACGGGACCAAGAGGCAAACAGGTGACCCATGATGGGGACAGATGCTGGGTGACTGTGGCCTTAACTCCGCCCCCAGCCCCGCACCAGGAAATCCACAGGGAGCTTTCTTAGCTTAACATGGAAACTAAGGTTCTGGCCAAATCTAGGTGGGAACCCAGCCGTGTTTAACCAGGAGCCGTGGACAGCCCCGTGACCGGTGACAGGCCCACACGGGACTAAAACACAGCCACCATCAAGCGCCCCACGAGACGCTCAGGGAGGGGCTTACAGCAACTGAGAATCCCCCAGTAGCCCTCCTAAGTCCTCATGATTGGGGCACCCAGAGGGTTGGGGGACCGACTGGCTGGAGGGTGGCACCAGGAAGGGAGGGAACATGGCAACTCTCCCCGTGGAACTTGCCTGACTCCGTGTATGTTCTTAATGGCGTAACTGATCTCTCGTCTTAAGTCCTTCTCATCGAACTCCATCTGAGGAGAGACAAACAAAACCCCTGCAAAAAGGTACCTGGGGCACCGCACAACAGGTGTGTATTTGGGGAATGTTATTTCCTATGAGCAGTTTTATTCACAAGGCAGAATATTTAACTGGTCAAAAAAAAAAATTAAAACCTAGCTTCAGCAAGGATGCTGTGAAATGAACAATCTCGCTATATAGGCGGGAACAGGAGTTTACATAAACTTTCTTATGGGCTACTTGGAGCACATATCAAGTACCTCAAAAAACACACCTATGCTGTTACCTCATAGTTCAAATGCTCTAGAAATTTATCTTGGGGAATCAACAAAGATTTAGCTACATGACCACAACTATTCATAGCTGTAAAAAAAAAAAAAATGTAAATACAGGGTCAGGTGTGGTGGCTCACCCCTGTAATCCCAGTGCTTTGGGAGGCCGAGGTGAGAGGATCACTTGAGGCCAGGAGTTCAAGGCTATGGTAAGCTATGATTACACCACTGCATTCCAGGCTAGGCAAAAGAGTGAGACCTCCATCTCTCACACACACAAAAAAGTGAATACAAACTAAATGTCCAACAATGGGAAACTGGTTTAATGCACAATGTCACATCCATAAAACAGGATGTTGTTTTGCCATTAAAAATCCACTGTGTAGCCGGGCGCGGTGGCTCACCCCTGTAATCCTAGCTCTCTGGGAGGCGCAGGAGTTCAAAACCAGCCTGAGCAAGAGCGAGACCCCGTCTCTACTATAAATAGAAAGAAATTAATTGGCCAACTGATATATATATATATATAAAAATTAGCCGGGCATGGTGGCACATGCCTGTAGTCCTAGCTACTCGGGAGGCTGAGGCAGGAGGATTGCTTGAACCCAGGAGTTTGAGGTTGCTATGAGCTAGGCTGACGCCACGGCACTCACTCTAGCCTGGTCAACAAAGCGAGACTCTGTCTCAAAAAAAAAAAAAATCCACTGTGTATATGACTGGTTTGGAAAGATGGTCACCTTATGAAAATAGGGTACAAAGACACAAAAAATTTTTAGTTTAAAAAATATATACGTATACAAAGTACGGATGACAATACACGGTATGTTTGTGTATGTAGACAGGTGGACCCATTTGCATGGAACTAATTTTGAAGGATTGCAAGTTCCAGTTTAACAGGCCTTATCTGTGGGCATTAGGGTTATTGTTCCTTTTATAGAAAAAGACTTTATTGGTTTTGTGTTTGTTTTGTTTTGTTTTTAGACAGGGTCTAGCTCTGTCTCCCAGGCTGGAGTGCAGCAGCAGTGTGATCACAACTCACAGTAATCTCACATTCCCGGGCTCAAGTAATCCTCCTACCTTGGCCTTTGGAGTAGCTGGGACTCCAGGCATCTGCCATCATGCCCAGCTAATTTTTTATTTATGTTTTGCAGAGACAGGGTTCTCACTATGTTGCCCAGGCTGGTCTCAAGCCTGTGGCCTCAAGCAATCCTCCTGCCTTAGCCTCCAAAGTGCCGGGATTACAGGCGTGAGCCACTGCACCCAGCCAGAACTTTATTATTTGTTATAAAAATGCTATATGCTCAGCCAGGCACGGTGGCTCACGCCTGTAATCCTAGCAATCTGGGAGGCCAAGGCGGGCGGATCTCTCAAGGTCAAGGAGTTCGAAACCAACCTGAGCAAGAGCGAGACCCTGTCTCTACTAAAAATAGAAAGAAATTAATTGGCCAACTAAAAGTATATAGAGGCCGGGTGTGGTGGCTCACGCCTGTAATCCTAGCACTTTGCGAGGCGAGGCGGGCGGATTGCTCAGTCAGGAGTTCGAAACCAGCCTGAGCGAGACCCCGTCTCTACCAAAAAATAGAAATAAATTAATTGACCAACTAAAAATAATATAACAAAAATTAGCCGGCATGGGTGGCGCATGTCTGTAGTCCCAGCTACTCGGGAGGCTGAGGCAGGAGGATCGCTGAGCCCCGGAGTTTGAGGTTGCTGTGAGCCAGGCTGACGCCACGGCACTCACTCTAGCCTGGGCAACAAAGTGAGACTCTGTCTCAAAAAAAAAAAAAAAGTATATAGAAAAAATGAGCCGGCGGCATGGTGGCGCATGCCTGTAGTCCCAGCTACTCGGGAGGCTGAGGCAGAAGGATTGCTTGAGCCTAGGAGTTTGAGGTTGCTGTGAGCTAGGCTGACGCCACGGCACTCTAGCCCGGGCAACAGAGTGAGACTCTGTCTAAAAAAAACAAAAAAAAAACCACTATATGCTTACTACAAACAAACTTCAAGTAAATCACACACAAAAAAGAAACTTCCAAATCTCAGCAGCCCAAGCTGACATTTGCAAACATCCTTGCTGATCTGCCCTCACAAAGAAACACCTCTAGACAAAGGTGCATGATTTCAAACAGAAAGATGTCATATATACATCAGCTTCATGCTGCACGTGCTGGCTCTATACGCTCTTTTGTTCTTCCTTCAACAACTGGCTAGGGACATTTTCCCATGTGAGTTTACCTATATTTTCTTGGATTATGCAAGGAATGTGTATCGGTTTTTGTCAGAGGAGAAAACAGGAATTTCCATACTGCTCTGCCCAACACTTCTCAGCTGCCTGCTCTGGGAAGAAAGCCCACTCGGGAACCTTCTACAGGACACATGCTCAAGACCTCAGGGCCCCAGAGGCCCAGGTCGAGGCCAGCAGGAGGGTGGCGGAGCAGAGGGGGACGGGTCCCGGCCCCGGGAGTGATACCTTCACCAGCTCAAAGGGAAACCGCTCATGGAAGATTCGATTGATCCGGGCGCCCCCAGAGAGCTCCAGTGTGTCCACTTGGTCTCCCGAGCCCTCAATCCTCTTCTCAAAGTCCACCCCAAACTGCTGGACCATCCTACGAGGAAGAAGAAAACCCGACATCAACGTGGAGGTTTCAACACAGATATGAAGTGATGTTCCAAGCTAACCCACAGGTTTTTTTCTCTTTTTTTTTTTTCTTTTAAGAGACAGGGACTTTAACAGACCCTCCTCTGTTGCCCAGGCTGGAGTGCAGTGGCACAATCATAGCTCACTGCAGCCTCGAACTCCTGGGCTCCAGCAAGCCTCCTGCCTCAGCCTCCCAAACTGCTGGGATGACAGGTGTAATTCCAGTTTGCAGATGAGGAGGGTGAAGTTCAAGGGTCACACAGCTCAGCAACCTCTACCCTGAGGCTCGACTTGACTTGGCAGGCTGGTGGGCTGAACAGGTAGCCCCTCCGCACAATTCCAGCGGCTTCTGCAGGATCCTCCTACCAACTCCCAGCCTGCTGCGGGCGAGACTCCACCACTGACGGGCCTTGGACAGGTAGCTTTGCTCCCTCTAAGCCTCAGCTTCCTCTACTGCAAAGTGGGTTGATGGTAACAGCATCAACCTCATAGGGCCACTGTGAGGATTAAAGATGTTTCTAGATTTCACCAACTCCAAGAAGTCACTGATCCTAAAACGCACTGTTCTTTTGTGCATCCACAAAAAAGAAAAAAATGCTGCCAATTCCTAGCAATCTAACTATGTTGCCTTTTTTTTTAAAAAAATGAAAAGTGCTCATGTAATGAACAGAAGGCGATAATAGTGTGTGTGGCCCCTGAGAACCCTGCCTGGCCCTTTAAAAAAACATCTCTCAGCATTGCTGATTATCACTGTGCACAGCAGGGGACTCATGATGTTTTGTGTTCTGGGGCGCCTTTTGTAGCAGGGAGCTCCTGCAAAGGGGACCCGTCCCCAGCCGGGCCTGCAGCTTCGGGTCTGCAGTCCTTATCCGGAGACGCACCAAGGCCAATGTCAACGCAACACCTGGAACCAGGAATCGTGGGCCACGCCGGGGCCAAGGCTGTCGAAGGCATGGCCCTAAACCAATGACAGAGGATGGACAGAGGAGTGGTTTGGACAAGGACGGAGACTGTGGCCACTTGCTGACAGCTGCAGGGCCGAGGAGATGACAAATGAAGCACGTGTGTGCGCCAGTCTCCGGGGTGGCCTTGTGGCCGGCCTCAGCTGCACTCAGAGTATTCCGGGCACTGGTTACAAGCTCAGTGGTGTCCCCCACAATTCAGGCTCACATCCTAGCCCGCAGTACTTCAGAATGTGGCCTTACTTGGAAACAAGGTCGTTGCAGATGTAATTAGTCAACAGGAGGTCACATTGGAGTAGGGCGGGTCCTTAAACCACCAGGAATGATGTCCTCATAAAGTGGGGAAATTTGGACACGCCCAAGACAGAGCACGATGGGACGACGAAGGCAGAGGCTGGGAACACCAACGATCGCCAGCCACCTCCAGAGGTCTCAGGGGGAACCAACGCTGCCAACCCCTCCATGCTGGACTTTGAGCTTCCAGACCAGGGAGACGACACATTCATCATGTTGTTTAAGCCGCCCAGGCTGCGGGACATTGTTAGGACAGTCTCAGCAAACTCACACCCATCAGCAGGGCAGGAAAGATATCCATGAACGCCCCTCGGCCATTACAGACAAGTGGTTGCTGAGGGTACAGCCACAACCGCATGCCTACAGAACGTGGGTCCCTGCTCCAAGTTCTAGAAGCAGAGTCCCAAGGCACAAAGCAAAAAGCCAAGAGAGAAGAGCTGGTCTGAAAAATGTCCTGAGTTCCCTCTGCCTAGGGAAGGATTCAGCCGGAGACTTTTAAACAACCTGGGTGTTATTCATAGGATGGAGTTTGCAGGTAACGAAAAATTTTAAAAATCAGCTGTGGCCGGGCGTGGTGGCTCACGCCTGTGATCCTAGCACTCTGGGAAGCCAAGGCAAGAGGATCGCTCAAGGTCAGGAGTTTGAAACCAGCCTGAGCAAGACCCCGTCTATACTAAAAATAGAAAGAAATTAATTGGCCAACTAAAAATATATAGAAAAAACTAGCTGGGCATGGTGGCGCATGCCTGTAGTCCCAGCTACTCGGGAGGCTGAGGCAGGAGGATCTCTTTAGCCCAGGAGTTTGAGGTTGCTGTGAGCTAGGCTGACCCCACAGCACTCTAGCTCGGGCAACAGAGTGAGACTCTGTCTCAAAAAAATAAATAAATAAATAAATAAAATAATCTGCTGGGCACAGCAGTGGGAGCCTGCAGTCCCAGGCACTGTGGAGGCTGATGTGGGAGGATGGCTGGAGCCCAGGAGTTGAAGAGAGAAACCCTATCTCTATAAACTAACAAAACACCTTTCCGCTGCGGTGAGTGAATTGGTTCAGTGGAGCTCAAAACATTGATAAACTTAAGGTCTGGTGCTTCAAAGAATCTGTTTTTCAAGTGGATAAAGGAGTATTTGAGTACGTGACCATTGATATATTCAGAATAGAGGTTTTTGCTTTTGTCCCTGTGGTAGCAGGGTGAATTCTGAGACAGCCCCAATTATCTATAGGGGAATTTATCTGAGAATTCTGTGCCTCTGCCTTGTAGCTGAGTTGCCCCATAGAGAATTTCTATAGAGTGCAATTCCACTATTTAAAGTAGTTTTTCTCTCTACTGGACCTGCTCTGAAACTCGATACAGTGCGAACGCCAAAGAGCAAGTCCTTAATTTTGGTTCATATGCTCTACAAAGACATGACTGAGTCTAGCTCTGCAAGTAGGTCGGCTTTAGAACACATTAATTCTAACTAGATGACCCATTCCACAACTAAGACTACTTTATGAACTGTACTTTAACTTACAAAAGTCATTTTTGAGTCCCATTCTTTTGATTATTCTGAAAATATGTTTTAAGGGATATTCATCAATATTACTGTTGAGGAATATATATGGCAATGGTGGCTGAGATTGAAGTATCTCACTTTAAAAACAAAACAAAACTCTAGGGCTAGGAGTAGTGGTTCAGGCCTGTAATCCTAGCATTCTGGGAGGCTGGGGCAGGAGGATCGCTTGAGCCCAGGAGTTTGAGGCTGCAGTGAGCTGTGATGACACCACTGCACTCCAGCCTGGGCAACAGAGCAAGACACTCTCAAAACAACAACATAAAAAACCAACTCTAAAGCAGGAAGGCCCAGCCCTCACCAGGGGCGGCAGATGACAGCAGCGTGTCTCCACCGCGATGTCCAAACTACCCAGACAGTGCCCTGCCTGGTACTAGTTACACAATGTCCTACACCCTGGAGGTGAGGACCATTTTTGGAGGGTGTTCCCTGGCCTGGTCCCACCTAGGACTTTACGAGCAGCAGTTTTATCCCGGGTTTTCCCAATGGCTACGTCAGGTGACAGCTGTTGCCACCCTAATTTCATGGGTGCCGAAAGTAAGGCCCGGAGAGGTGTGGTCACCTGCCCGTGGTCACCCAGCAGGTCTGAGTTCATCCTCAGGCCTCGGCCTGTATAGCAAAGACTTCCTTCTAGTCGCCAGACCCCATCCCCCCGCAAAGGGCCCGCATGTGCCCCGCAGCAAGCTTCCAGGACACGCCGAGGTCGCCGGGGCATAAAAGCATTCTCACGCCCAGCCCGCCAGTGTGCACCGCTGTGTGGCAGGGGGACGTCGGGGCTGCCATGGCCAGAGGGGGCAGTGCCCATAGGAAGAATCTCACTCAGGCTGCCATCTGCCATCTGCACCACCCCAGACCCCTGGACACCTGCTCTGGCCCGGCTAGTCTAGTGTCCTGGGGTCCCCTGCAGGCCAGAAACCAGGAGGGGCGTGAGTCAGGCCTTGGACTGGGGGCTGCACCTGCTCCGCCACCTCCCAGCGGGGTGGCTGGGTCACACTACAGTCGTGGTGGGGATTCCAAGGGATGAAGCAGGAGAAGAATCTAACCTGGGCTCTGGCTCCCGCCGCCTCTGCCATGTCTGTTCTCCCATAACGGCCAGAGGAGCCGGCGAGCACCCGAGTGAGTCCGGACCCGCTTCCTCTGCTCAGACCTCTGTGGCTCCCGCCTCCACGGTACAGAGGCCAACACCGTCCCTGTGCCTGCAAGGCCCTGCTCAAGCCGCCCTGTCCCTACGTTAGCAATTTTTCCACTGAACGCACTATACATTTCCGTACTTATGTCCTGTGCCATTTGTCCCCCACCCGCTTTCTGAGCACCCTGGGGGCGAGTATGGGCCCTGTCCACTGCAGCGACACGCTGCTTAGCACAAGGCCTGGTCTGCAGGAGGCTCATGTCAAACGCTTGTTGAATAAATGAATGGGTGAGTGACAACTGGCGCCCAGCCTAGGGGACCCCATGGCTGGGCCGAAGCCAGCAGGCGGCCAGGGAGCCAGGCTGGGGGGAGGGGAGGTGAGGGTACGTACTGCAGCAGGGCTTTGGTTTTGCGCGTGGGGTCATCAGGCCGGAAGTTCTTGTACTCCTCCACCTCCTTCTCCAGGGACAGCAGCTGGCTCTGCAGCTTGCTGCGCAGGGTCGGCAGTGACTCCCGGATGTGGTTGGTCAGTTGCTGTGGGACAGAGGCCAGAGATCAGCGGGGCGCAGGGGCGGCGGCAGGCCACGAAGGCCAGGCCCGCTGACCCTGCCGAGCACGGACACCACGATGCCAGCCTGAGCCCAGCACACCCTGAGACCCCAGAGAAAGGGACAGAAACATCCAGCTACGGATACACTGCGCCTGGGGCAAGCAGAGGCGGCGTGGCGCTGGCGTGGCGCCGTCCTCGGGACTGAGACGCCGCAAGCAGCACCAGGGAGTGAGGGACAGCAATCAGGGCGTCCGGCATAACAGGACAGGGAACGATCCTCAAGATACGCTGTTAGAGAAGAAACTCCACGTGGGACAGAGGGGAAGACGTTACTGCTGAGGGTGGGAAAATGAAGGACAAGGCAGGGAAATAAGGAAGGGAGAAAACAAACAGGGAACAAAAAAAAAACGAAAGGAAGAGAAAGAAAGAAGAAGAAAGAAGAAAGAAGAGAAAGAAAAGAAAGAAAGAAAGAAGAAAGAAAGAAAGAAGAAAGAAAGAGAGAGAAGAAGAAAGAAGAGAGAGAGAGGAGAGAGAGGGAGAGAGAGGGAGGAAGGGAGGGAGGGAGGGAGGAGTGGGGGCAGGAGGGCTATATAGACACATCCGCCTCTCCAGGACTTGTCACCAGCAGAAAGCCCAGGAAGTGGTGGCTGGCCGCTCTGGGGAAGGCAGTGCCTGTCACGGAAAAGAAGGAAACAGGACATTCACTAGATCTGGGCTCGATCGTGAGTAATAGCGTATAATAGCGTAATAGTTTTACGCTATTATAGCAAAGGGGGTAAATGAATGAGGGAAAAAGGCTGTAAGAGGAGCTGATAGTTGGAAAAGTAAAGAGAGTTTTGCTGCCATCCTTCCCCACAACAGAAGCATTTACAAAGTGTCCATTGAGCTGGGAAAGAGACCTGGAGGAGCCTCACTTCTGTGGCATGGAGCTGGCGGGGTCACCCAAAGTCCTGGACATGCAAGGTCCCTGTCCCGAAGCCCCAGGGCCCCCCTTTGTGGCAGCTGCAGGTGTCAGAACACGAGGACCACGGCTGGCCCAGGACATGCCCCGATTGCAAGGGGCCGAGCCCCGCCACGTTCCCAATGTGCCACCTGGGCTGCCTGCCTGTCGCCTCTCAGAGGAGGCCCCGCCACTGCCAGGCGAGTTTTACTTCCCTTCCTCCCGCTCCTGCCCTCTGCCCCGCAGCCCCAGCTTCCTCTCCTGGGGGCCTCCCGGGGACACTGACTTCCCGCTTCACTCTCCAGGCCTGCTCTCCGCCAGCTGTCGTCGCAGCCCCTGCCTCTGGCCAACACCTGACTGTGCTTGCATCCGGTGGCCTGTTCCGAGTCCACCCGCCCATTCGACACGCGCCTTCCACGAGGACAGGGCCCTGCCCTGCCGTTGCTACTGTCTCCCCAGCCCGTGCATGAAGGAATGGCTCTAGGATCGTCACCGGGGCTGTCCTGCCATCCCCGAAGCCGCCAGAAAGCAGCAAGGGGGAACATCTTACCCCTGCGACTGCCCACTGGAAGGGCGACGCTGGCTGGGCACCGCCTATTACGGCGTCACTACCTGATCTCACGGTGGGGATCTGACCCCACAGGGAAACCTGCGCGTGCGCAAAGTGATGCTATTAACTAGGACGATTGGAAACCTCCATGGTGGCCCCGCAAGAGACAGGTCACACAGGCCAGGGCCCACGTGCTCAGGGACCGCTGTGCAGCTGCAGAAGAGCGAGGAAGGACCCTTTGCTGCGAGGACGGAGCTTCAGGAGATGTCACTGAGCAGAAAAAGGCCCGAGGTGGAGTCATCCGTGACTACGTCTTCATTTATGGTAAGAAAGGGAGAAACACTACCCATGTCAAATTCTGACTATAAAAAAAAAAAAAAGAAAAAAAAAGAAAGGGAGAAACACGGTTCCCGGGCAGGATAAGGACAGCGGCGCACTCGGGGAACTGGGAGGGGAGGAAGTGGGGCGCATGCTCGTTGTCTTAATACTGTTTTTGTTCATGCACCCTGTGAACATACTACCTATTAAAAAGAGAACGACAGCGAACATTAAGGACCGGCGCTGCTGGTGTTGGACTCTGCGGTATTGGACACAGCGCACGTGCTGGGCACCGGCAAGGCACTAGCCATAGGGGACAGAGAGAGTGACGACTCTTGATTGATGGACGAGGAGAGAGAGGCACGAAAGGGCTCAGAGGTTGGGCTGGGCTTGGGACCCTCCAGGGTCAGCTTCCAGTGTCCCTCCACTGAGCCACCGTCTGGTGCGCCCGCCTTGGGTCAAGCTAGATGTTCTTATTTTATTTTTTTTTGAGACAGAGTCTCACTCTGTTGCCTGGGCTAGAGTGCCGTGGCGTCAGCCTAGCTCACAGCAACCTCCAACTCCTGGGCTCAAGCGATCCTCATGCCTCAGCCTCCCGAGTAGCTGGGACTACAGGCGTGCGCCACCATGCCCGGCTAATTTTTTTCTATATGTATTTTTAGTCATCCAGCTAATTTCTATTTTTTTTTGTAGAGATGGGGTCTCACTCTTGCTCAGGCTGGTCTCCAACTCCTAAGCTCAAATGATCCACCCACCTCAGCCTCCCACAGTGCTAGGATTAGAGGCGTGAGCCACAGCGCCCAGCTAAGCCAGATGTTCTTTACCCAGGTGACCAACTCCAGGAACTGGATGCGAGCTTCTGGGTGTGTGACTAAGTAATTACAATGGTAATTAAAATCATAGAAATAGGCTGGGCAGGGTGGCTCGTGCAATCTTGGGAGGCTAAGATGGGAGGATCGCATGAGATCAGGAACTTGAAACTAACCTAGGCAACATAGCAAGACCTCGTCTCTAAAGAAACTAAGGAAAACCTGTAGGGAAACACTGTCTCTACCAAAAATAGAAAAATTAGCTTCGTGTGGTGGTGCATGCCTGTAGTACCAGCTACTCGGGAGGCTGAGGCAGGAGGATCACTTGAGCTCAGGAATTTGAGATTGTAGTGAGCTATGATGATGCCACTACACTCTAGACTCTAGCCTGGACAACACAGTGAGACCCTAGCTCTTAAAAAAAAAAAAAAGACAGCATCAACTTACTGAACATCCAGCCTTCACCAGGCCCTGAATCAAATGCATTTATTACAGCAGAAATACATATGGACCAAACCCATTTTGCTAAAACAAGTGCCGTTCTAGCCTGAGGCTAGGGCCAGTTTGGATCGTAGCTGTTGTACAGTGCACAGCCTGCACCACTGCACACGGTGGCCCCAAACTCTTGCCGTACCTGATTGAGGGTCTTCTGCAGGTGTGGCGTGCCCATGCGGTCGGCCATGTGCCGGTAGGCCGGGTGGGAGAGGAAGAATTTCCTCTCGGCCGCCAGTGCCGCACGGATGTCCTTCTTGCCCTCAATGTCCTTCTGGCTGCGGTTCACCACGCCAATGTACCCTGCGGCGGGAGACAGAGTCAGGGCAGGGGCAATGACGGATATAAAGTTCAGGTATAGAGATGGATCCTGCCCCACGAGTCACGCAGAGATGGGGGCATGTTATTGTGAAATAGCATAAGAGATGCAAACATGGCAGAAGGCAGCCCCGAAAAGCTACGTAAGTGCTCAGAGGATGGACAGGCCACATCTAGCCTCTGTGATAGGAAAGATCTTTCGGGAAAATGAAGTCCACAAGCAGAGGTTCAAAGACAGGTAAGAGAAAAAAAATCTCAAAAACAAGCACAAAGGGGCAGAGGTGATCTTGTCAAACGTCACAACCTACTGTACAGCTAGCCTAATTTAAACAGTTAGGGTTATCAGGGCGTTCATGCCCAGAGGGATGAATGGAACAGAACAGGAAGTCCAAAAATACACCCAGATGGAGGTAGGAACTGACCCATAACACTTCAATACCCGTGGGAGGAAAGGTGGTTGAATGAATATTGTTGGCAAAGAATCAAAGTTGGAAGCCTGTCGGAATTAATTAATTCTCAAAGGATCAGAGATTCACACAGAAAACATGAAATGAGAAAGGAACTTGAAGAAAACATGAGTGATTTAAAAAAAAAACAATTGTATTTGTGTTAAAGTTTTCTAGAATGGAATACAAGCAGCAGTGAACAGTGATCATACGAGAAGAGAGACAGAGGGCGGGGAGGTTCCAGTCAGTCACGTTAACTTACTGCTTTCAGTAAGGTTTTTGAATTTTTAAACTGTGCAAAAACTATTTTTCGAATAAAAACGCTAGTTCGAAGCGATGATTTGCCATATTTGAACAGAAAGAAACCGGCAGAAGAGAAAGGTAGGGAGATGGCATTTGAAAAGCTAGAACAGAGAGCCGGGGACCTCGAGTCCCAGTGATGCGGGAGGCTGGGGCAGAAGGATCGCTTGAGCCCAGGAGTTCCAGGCCAACCTGGGCAATGTAGCGAGACCCCCATCGGAAAGGTAGATTGGAGATACGTAGCAAGAGGCCTGCAGTAGAAAACACGTGTGTTTATACTGCGCTGTCTCAGCAGTGGGGGCGAGAAGGGAAGAGGCATGTGCCATTTACCCCTGAGGCTCTGGTACGCGTGCGACTGCTTTGTCTTTTCCAGATCTGTCATTGTGTCCATTTTGCAGGTGAGGGCCCGAAGGCATGCCAGAGTGAGGTCACAGTAGGAGAACCAAGACCTGCCCCCAGATTGGAGCGAAGCCAAACTCACTACCATCTGGGTGACCGCGTGAGGAGGAAATGGCAGGGGCCACAGAGAGGCGGCCGGCTTGGGCCTGGGCTCCTTTAAAGAAGCGGGAGCTCTGAGTCCTTTGCGAGCAGGGGCAGGGACTTTGAGGCCTGAGGTCACAAGACGGAAGAAAGCTCCCAAGCACGCGGAGACGGGAAGGGCCTTCGTTCATGCAAACAGAAGGAAGGCAGTGGAGGAGAATGTGGACTCCAGGGAGTCAGGAGGAAGTGGAGGAGGTCCATGCGGCGGATCTCAGCCCAGCTGGCACCCGCAGGCCCCAAGCCCCCTCGGGGGTAAGGTGGAGGCCCAAGAGTGCTTGGCGGAGCCCAGGGTCAGGGGGGCTGGTGGAGGGTGCGGGGCCAGGCGGGGTCTGCTTCCTCTTCAGCACTAACCCGCCCTCCCGAAACCTCGGCCAGGCTCGGCTGCACTGCTCAGCCTCCAGCTTTGCAGCCACACAGATTTTTACAGTGTGCCCCAGCCGTGCTCCCCCGTGTCCGGGGCCATGTCCCCGGTCAGCATCTCAGCAGTGCTGGAGGAAGGTGGCCACCAAGGTCTGAATGCTTTCCCCCCACCAATCCCAGACAGGGAAACTTCCAGTAGTTAAAGAAAATGCCTAAATGACGCTGCCACAGCACGAAGGCGTCCACAGCTGACAGCAGTGGCTCAAAAAAAAATAAAAAATAAAAAATAAATGAAAACCTAGATGGATAATCAATATTGCATTCCGGTGGAAACCAGAACAAGCCTTAGCATCCAAGCCATGGGGGTGGAGTGATGGCCAACGCACCCTGGTCTACGGAATTCCATGGGACTTTGTGATGTCATCTTGAAGAGTATTTACCTGCCTTGGAAACATTTACCCGAAATGAAACAGCAAGTCGCAAAGCAGCATGGCCCTGGAGGGCTGGGGCTCAACCCAGTTTTGTCACTTGCTAGTTCTGAGAGCTGGGCTAAGGGATTTGGCTTCTTTGTGCCTCAGTTTCTTCATCCGTAAAATGGGGATAAGAACAGTGCCAGCTCATTGGATTGTCATCACGATGAAATGAGCTCTTACCCATCAAGAGCATAGAACAGTGCCTGGTACATCAGAGACACTCGACAAATGCTTGCTAGTCTCATGGTTTGAAAATAAAAATATTTTTAACACCACGAGTGAGCCGTGATGTAAACCATGGACGCTGGGAGATGGCGGTGGGTCGATACAGGCTGATCGATGATAAAAAAACGTCCCGCTGTCCAGCGGGGGATGTTGATGGGGGAGGCCGTGCCTTCGTGGGGGTAAGAGGCTTATGGGAAATCCCTGCACCTTCCCTTCAACGTGGCAAAGAACCTGAAATTGCTGCTCTGAAAAAAATCAAACATTTTAAATATTTTAAAAATAAACTAAATAAAAACACTTAGTTATGCTTATGATGAAACCTGAACAGGGACCTAATTAAGCCTCTGTCTAGATCTAATTACCAGTTTATAGGGAGTGACAGTTGGCCAAATCCCAAATGTGGCACGTGATCCGGTTTCCTCCGTACAAAAACGGTATGGAAAAAACAAAGTGGACAGGAAGGAGAACTGTATCCAAAGAAATGAAGGTAATTACACGCAAAATGACACAACGCCGGTAAGGATATTCAGGGGCTTCCACACTGGCTGCCAGTGGAGTTGGGGACCAGGTCCCCCAGGGCTCTTTGATCTATTCTGTTTACTTTTGGGGAAAGTTTGCAAATGTTCCTAATAGGAAGTAATAAAAATATTACTCAACGTGACAGCTCCCAGGGAGCTGTCTGGAAGGACAGCCACTGTGGATTAACCTGCAGCCACTGGGGGAAGCAGGGCTGCGGGCGGAGTTTAGGTTCCCCTTTCTACACACGTGTTTTCTGCTGTTCCAGAACAAGCAGGTGCACTTGCAAAACAAACATACAAAAATCAGGAAAAAAAAGATGCACATGTCAAAAGGGAAAAACAGGCAGAAGGGTTTACAATGACAAGTAGAAGCAGTCACAGCTGGACAGCCGGGAAACAGGTGGTGGTGAGTGTGGCTGCGTCTGCAGTCATGACAACGACATGCCGCTGGACCCCAGCCCGTCCTTCCTGCCTCCCTAGCACCCTGTTACCCACCCCCCAAGCCACACCTCTTCTCAAGGGGAGCAGCTTGTTCTCCAGGATGTCCCTGGCATCGGTGCCTTCGTCCATCAGGTCGAGCTTGGTAATGACGCCGATGGTCCGCAGGCCTGAAAGAGCCCAGAGGTCAGAGGTCAGGGGGAGCCATGAGCAAAGAGCACGAGCTGGTGGCTCCAGGCCACCCAGGGTCCAACTGTCGCCGCCACTTCCAGGCTGTGCAACCTAGGCCAAACCAGTGTCACCTGCCTGGCCCCCAATTTCCCATATGGCAAAGGAAGACAGTGACAGCCCCACTATCAGAGGGCTGTCCAAGAGGATGAACTTGGCCCATGTCAAGTGCTCAATAATGGACGTTGGCCACCACCGTCATTTTTGTTATAGCAGTAACATCTGACATTGTCAGGGGCAACTTCGTGGAAGCAGGAATTCTGGGTCAGTTTGGATGCTGTTACTCTTTCGGTTGGAGCAAAGTCCCAATATCACATCTGAACTGGAAGCGACTGTTTCCAGGGCTACCATGTGCCCGAATGGCTGAAATCCCATTCTGGAAACTGCCCTACCCAACTCTCTCCTTCCAAGTGGTGGGTGCCAACTTGGGTGACAGCCATGCCCTTCCTGGGACCCCCACCCAGCTCATACTCTGCACTGAGTGCAGTAGAGGGAGGTGACCGGGGAGGGGTCCCAGGGCCATCAACTCTAACGGCAATGTTTGGTCACACCAGAGCATTGTTCGGGAAGACCAGAAACAACCCAAATGGCCAAGAACAAAGGAATGGCCAACAATGGGCCGTCCTACGGGTGGCAACTCAGGCCTCAAAGGGGATCACTGACATCATCACTGTGGTATAAGATAGGGACACAAACAGTAAAATAAAGAAAGATCATCCCGCTTTTTAAAAATGTGAGTTTACATGTAAGAACATTTACCAAGTGTGGCCACCAATATCTGTACAGGGGGAGGGGCCTGTCACTTTTTGGGTTCTATATTTTCCATTGGCAACCTTTTAAGTTTGGGTACAAATCATGAATGCTTTTTGGGTAATAACATGAATACTTCTGAAGGCAGAAAACAAAATTGTCTTGAAAGCATAAGGCCAGCACTGAGTTCACAAACGGATTCCCATTTTGTCACTGCCTGATCAAGCCTCAAGCCTCTGAAGGCTCTGTCACAGTCACATCCCATTTCCTGCCACAGCTGCAGGGGACATGGCTGGGGTGCACTGGGGGGCTGTGGGCTCTGGGGGTGGGGCTGGCCCCTCCCAGGAATGTGCGCCCCGGAAGACCTTAGGGAGATCGAGGTGCAGTGCAGAATAGGACTGCCAGCACCTGTACCCACCTCTGCCCCGACGACCAACCCCTGGGCCTGACCCAGAGCCACCCCGCCTGTCTGGCCTCAACAACTCACCCAGTCCCTCGCTGGTCCCTGATTCCCTCCAAACCACTCTGGAACCCTGACGGTCAGAGGGCACTGTACAACACGGATGTCCATTTGTGTTCTATGTGGCTAAATCACCCCCAACATCCTCAGAACACCCCAGCGCCCCCTAGACTGTTAGCGCCCACTGTCCATTTTCCTGGATTTTGTCTCTTTTCATCATTCTGGTCTTGCCTATTTCCTCACCCGGCAGAGGTCCCTGACCACTCACCCCAGCCACGCTCAGTGGGCTCTGGTTTCTCCCCAGCACGCACCGCCCCCTGCCGTGCCCGCGCTGGCTTGTGTCCTTGTTGCTCTGTCCCCGCCCCCAGGATCCCAGCTCCCCAGAAGGAAGCCTGGGGCTCTTGACCCCTGCGGGGTTCCCAAGGCCAAAACACAACCAGGCACATGGCAGGTGCTTAACAAACATGTCCTGATGACAAGACCACCTGGAAGGTTTGACTCTGAACGCCCACGGCCAGGGATGCCACAGTCCCCAGTCCTCCCTACAGCCCTCAACGTGCATCAGTACCCGGTCACTCTTTGGTGTCACCTGCCCAGCCCTGGGAGGTTTATGATCTACCACCCCCGTCTCCGCTGTATGGGTTGGGATTGATATTCCTGCTTTGATATGGGGGAGCACCAAGCCACAGGAAGGATGAGTAACTTCTAGAGGCGGGATCTGGACCCTGGGAGGCCTGGGCTCTTCCCCGCCCAGACTAGCTCCTGTGCTGGTAGCGTGGGCACTGTCGTGTCCAAGGAGGGCTGTCCAACTGCCACACAACAATCCCCCAGGGCACATACTCCAGCACTGCTGGCTCCCGCAGGAAATGCTGTGTCCCAGGAGGAGGCCTTTTCCCAAAGCACCCAGGCACAAATAACAATGCCAGAGACTTGGAACCAAGGAAGCTGGGCAAGTCCTGGGCTCAGAGGGAGCTGCTGGCCCGGGACTTGGTGGCTACCTTGCGGGTCGACCTCCTTGGCCAGCTTGAGGGCGTCCGAGTTGGCCAAGTCCATGTTGGCGGGCGTGACGGCCAGGATGAGGCTGCTCTCCCGGCTGATGAACTGCTGGATCATGTCCTTGATCTGGTACTCGATGTCCGGGGGCTGGTCCCCCACGGGCACCTTGGTGATGCCCGGGAGGTCGATGAGGGTCAAGTTCAACACTGGGAGGGAAACCAGACAGAAAGGTTGTCAGAACCCAGGGAGGGGAAGCACGCACAGCCCTGTAGCAATTCAGCCGCTTCCTCATGTTCCATGGGCTCTGACGCTCTGCCTGGACCACACCTTCAATCTCATATCCCCGTTTCTAGGACTCTGTCTTACAGACACCTGGAACAGACTCCACTCCAGTGATAGTTTTTATTTTTAAGAGATGAGGTCTCACTCTGTCACCCAGGCTGGAGTGCCGTGGCGTCATCATAGCTCACAGCAGCCTCCAACTCCTGGGCTCAAGCGATCCTCCTGCCTTAGCCTCCCAAGTAGCTGGGACTACAGGTGTGCACACTCATGCCCAGCTAGTTTTCTATTTTTTTTAGTAGAGACGGGGTCTTGCTATGTTGCCCAGAATGGTCTCAAACTCCCAGCCTCAGGTGATCTTCCTGCCTCAGCCTCCTGAGTCACTGGGATTACAGGCATGAGCCACCATGCCTGCACAGTGATATAATTTTAAATGAGGACATCTGCAGACTGGAATGGATCTAAAGGAGGAATATGGCTGCAAGCTGCCCCAGTCCTCACCACTCCCAACAGTCTCCCCGGCATGCTGCATTTTCTTAGAACCGAGACAGATTTCTGGGTGCTATGCACCTATTGCATGTGGAAGATACGTATCAGGACAGCTGTGTGCATGTGAAGGACAACAAGCGGTGGCATACTGGTTTGTGAGTGGGCGGATGCTACCCATGACTGGCAGACAGAGTCAGGGACAGGTCCCGGCCTGCGCTGCCTACCGTGTGGCGAGTAGACGCGCAGGTTGATGGGTACTGGGGAGATGCCCTTGTTGGTCCCCGTGACTCTGTCGGTCTCCGCTTCGATCTCCTGCCGGACTTCATCAAAATCTGTAAACTTTTTGGATTTGCAGTGCAAAAACTCGGCATATTCTGCAAAGGGAAGAGAGAGGCTCGCGGTGAGAAAGAGAAGCGGTCTCGCCTTGCGTGGGGAGGGGAGCGCGTGAACTTCTAGGAGAAGCGCTCGCGAGCAGAAAAAGCAAAAAGTCAGCCAGTCACTCTAAGAACTCAGGGAGCAAGAGATTCATTTCCATGGCAAGTATTTGAGGGTGGCCCCCGGGAGACCAAACTTCATACTGGCCAAAGACTCAGTTCTTGGGGAACAGACATTCTCACGCACCATTTTGCAAATTACACGGCATGACATATTATGAGTCGGGGGGAAAAAAATGAATGGGTAGGTGTGACCAATGTTTTTGAGGAACAGAATAGAAGAGAAAATAGGGGAGGCCTCACCCAGAGAGAACAAGTACATTTGATGAGGCTTCTGCTTGGGTGTTCGCATGCAGCGACTGAGTCTGGGTCCCGATCACAGGAGACGAAAACTGTGGTGCCAGCGGGATCACAGGCCGCCAGCACATCCCAGCTCAGTGAGACCGCGGGAGCACGTCCACGACACTCACTTGCTCTTCTGCAAGGTACTCTCGAGGTACAGGAAACAGGGCATCTGTCTGGGGTCCCTCCTTCCCCTCCTGCCTGTCCAAGGGGCCCCCACTTAGACATGACCCCCCCTAAGATGAAATGCTTTCTGGGTAGACCCTTGAGCAGAGGCAAGAGCCGGGGTGTCCGACAGCCTACGGAGACTGAGATGAAGGCAAACGCGTGAGTAACTAACAAGGCAGCGTGGGTCCTATGAGCAACCTAGAGAAACCCAGGCCCCTAACACCGACCAGGGCCAAAGCAAACATAAAACACGTTCATCGTGGGACGGAAGCCCTGGGTATCTAGGCGTTCACTGTACGATGCCTCGACTTGTTCAGATGGCTGAAGATTTTCATAGTAAAATGCTGGGGGTGGGGGACAGGGACCCTCACGGATCAGAGGTCACAGCTCCTGCAGTAACGCTATAAAGAAGAGGGAAATGCGTCCTGCTGGCAGACGCCAGAGAACCCGCCCACTGCAGAGATGCAAAGATGTGCACTGCTGTGTCGCTTCTAAGAGTAAAAATCTGGAAATTGCCTCAACGTCCACCAGGAGGAGACCTGGCGACATGAATAACAAAGCCACACCGTCAGCTGCCGCACAGGCAAGTGGGGGACGGACCCCTGAGGTGCAAGGAGACAGAAAGAAGCCTCCTTACACATGGAGGTTGCCCATCCCATCACCATAACCTAACAAACTATGGCCAACATTTGGCCCTTGCTCAGTCTGGCCAGGCCCTGTGTACAGTCCCACATGTTCTCCGCAAGTCCCTGAGCAGGTGGGCTTCTCCTTCATCCCCCTTTCAACGATGAGGAAACTGAGGCCCAGAGAGGTAAAGTTACATGGCTCAAGTTCAGTGACAAAGCTAGGCTTCAGAACTCACATAATGTGGCACCAGGTAGGGGCTCTCAAGCTAGACAGCCTTTCTGAGGCTGTAGAAAGGATCTTCACATCATGGAACTTTAGCGGCAGGGTCAGGACTCAGTGGGCTCAGATCGCTGAGGACTGTGTCCGGCACCGGCTCGGGCCACCCAGTGCAGGGCAATAGGGACACCAGCTGGAGGATCCAAGATCCCCACCACCAACACTAGCCCTGCCGTCAGCTGACCCAGTTCCCAAGGACAGTCACTCTCCAGCCCTCCACAGGGACAAGAGGAAATACTCAGCCGCTCTTCCTGTAGCAGCCACTAAAAATGGAACCGTCCCCACCCCCACAGCAAACCTCAGCTCTCGTCTAGTGCCAAGTCCTAGGCTCAGCCACCACGAGAGACCAACCCCCTTCAAGGAATGCTGGCGGAAGGGGCAACTGGGACCCACCCCAACTGGTGTGTGGAAGGCCTGGCCCCACCTTTTCCACCTCCTCCTCTTCTTCTAGGGCCTGCCTGCCTGCCGCCTCTTCCAGGCAGCCTTCCTTGCCTGTACCTTGGCTTCCTTCCTCATTGGGGCCAGGTCGCTCTGGACCAAACTGATGGGGCCAGGACCTGCCTGCTCCAGCACCCCAGAGCCCGATGTGTGCTGACAGCTTGCCACGGGCAGTTAAGAGCTCGGTTTGCAGTCAGAGGGCACACCTGGTCTCAGTCTACTGATTTATAAAATGGGCATCACAACAGGGCCTGAACGAGGACTGAACGAGTCAACACTGGCACAGGAAGAGCAGAAGCCAGCACTGCCACCAGCTGAGCGGGCGGAAGTCCCCAAGGGCTCCGTCATAACCCACGGGAGAAGGTGCCAGAAAGCCATGGCTTCTTTCTTAGTGGGTCAGTGGGCAGCAGCGCCACACCCATCTGTGCCCAGAAAAGCCCAGGAGCCACCCAGGCCTGTCCCCAACTGCCTGCCTTTCTTCCCTGGGCTCCTTGGCACTTTGGAAGCGAACGTTGCATTCCAGAGTCAAGTCTGAGGTTTCAACGCTTCCAGACTCGACGGAGCTAACTCTCTTAACGCCAGACCTCGCCCCTCCTCCACCTGGAACCCTCCGTGGCTCCCATCTCAACCAGAGTAAAAGCCACCATCTTCACCACGTGCCCCAGACTCTATAAAATTTCCTTCTCCCCAACTTCTTCTGAGTTCACGTCACTCTGCCCTGGTCGACCTGTGCCATCTCTCAGAAGCAGTGACCTTTTCCCATACCCCGAGGACACTCGGGGTCCAGGAAGTCCATGGCGGGGACGGGGTGGCCCAGTGGCCAGGCTCCCCTCTACACCTCCGTGTCTGCGAGAGGAGAATAAAACGTGAGAGCTGGATTGCAGGGGCCCCTCAGCCTTACACGCGCCCTCAGGCTGGAGAGGAGTTTTCTTCACCATCTGCTGGCTCCAAGAATACGGCAGAAGCCTCAAGGCTGAGCTCCCTGTCCACTTGTCCCCAGCAGCCAAGGCCAAGCCACCGAGCCACCACTGGTTCTGCCTGTCCTGGTCCCCACTGCCAAGCTGCACCCTTCCCTCCCTACCCACCCTAGCTGCAGCATTTGCAGATAACAAAGCCAGTTCCTCTGGTCCCTGGGCCAACACCGAAGCATTCTGACAGCGACACCCCCGCCCCCACGGCAGAGAAAGAGCCAGCCACCCTGCACGGCTCCCTAGGAAGAGGGTCAGCCTGGGTCCCCTCTGGGAGGCTCTCAGCCAGCGTGTGAACAGGCCCTGGGGACTCCGAGGGACCTGACCGGGGCCCGGTGCACGGGAGGAAAGAAGGAATAAACCGGGCCCTTGTCCAGCAGCCACGCTGCCAAGCGGGCGGGAGAACAGCCGCCCTCACCCACCACAGGGCTTCCCACTGTGGCTCGGCGTCTGCACTTGTGGCTTTTTCTAGAAAGAGGTTCTGTGCCCCCCACCCAGCCAGTCTCCCTCTACAGAAGCCAGAGCCGCCAGAGAGCAGGGACTTGGGCTCAGTTACTGCTCTCCCCATACCTGGTACACAGTAGCTGCTTGATAAAAATCCAGGGGACAGTGTATTACAAAGCATTATGTGCTCAAGCCTAGAAGGACACCAACCCCTGCCACCTTCTTGGGGTCACGGCACCTGGGGCACGTCAAGCCTGCCACCCTCCAGTTCGAAAGGTGCTTACAGAGCCCAACTTGGTCAGAAGACAGCCCTCCCTGCCCTAAAGGCAGACCAGTCACTGCCTGCTGGCATTTCCTAAGAATTTCGAAAGGCCCAGGTCCTGCCCGTCTGGCACCACAGCAGGAGCTGGGGAGGAGATGAGAGAGAGGGAGGAGAGTGTGCCCAGGGGGCTCGTCACCCTAGCCATGCCCAGCACCTCAGTTTCCCCACAATGAAGCAGATCATCCCATCCTCCCTCCCTCCCACCCCAGCAAAGAGCAGATTGAGCAGGCTAGCTAACCACTGCCGGCAGGGAGACAGTATCTGTCTTCCCCGATCCTGGCACTGGCAGGTGTCCCCGGGAGGAACAAGTATGACACAGCTGGGAGACCCCAGGTCCCACACGATCAGACCAGATCCGTTTCTCAGAACCTCCAGCCAATCAAGCAGGGGGGCGCAGCCCCCAGCACTGCCCACGTGTGTGGCCCTCAAGCTCTCTCTGATCTCAGACAAGTCATGAACATCTACCAGTCCAGGCCACATTGCCATTGGGAGGGTGACAGCCTGCGCTGGCATCCCAGCCGGGTCCACGCCAGCCTGGTTTCCTCTTCCAGGCGTGAGGCTGTGGCCAGTCTGTCAGGGTTACAGGCGGGGTCCTGTCAGGGCCAGGCTGGCTGGGGGAAGGAGCTGGATAAAGTTACCTTGCCCACTTCCTGCCGCAAGGCGAGAAGGGACACAGTGGCAGCCCTTAGGGCAAGAGTCCCCAACCTTTCTGGCACCAGGGACCGGTTTCATGGAAGACAATTTCTCCACAATGGAGCAGGGGGTGGGGGCACGGTTTCGGGATGATTCAAGCGCATGACATTTACTGTGCAGTCAGACCTCTCTGCTAATGACAATCTGTACTTGCAGCCGCTCCCCAGCGCTGGCATCACCGCCTCGGCTCCACCTCGCATCATCAGGCATCAGGTTCCCATAAGGAGCCTCAACCTAGATCTCTCGCATGCGCAGTTTACAGTAGGGTCCGCGCTCCTGTGAGAATCTAATGCCTCCGCGGATCTGACAGGAGGCGGAGCTTATGCAGTGATGCGAGTGACCGGAAGCGGCTAAATACAGATGAAGCTCTGCTCACTCGCCCACTGCTCACCTCCTGCTGTGCAGGCAAAAAACATCAAGAAAACACCTGCAAGGGCAGGAGGACAGAAGGGTGTCACGTGACACATGCTGCAGGGTGGGGAGGGAGGGACAAAAGCAGAGAGTGACCGGTTGGGGTGGGGATGGGAGTCAACTAGCGGAGGAGGAGGAGGAGGAGGACTGGGCCAGGATGTCCCAGGCAGGGAGCACAGTGACCACAAAGGCCAGGAGGTGGGAAGAGATGAGCTGGGCCAGAGCATCAGGAGAGAGACGGTGGCTACAGCTGGGGACCAAGAGGAGGTGAGGTGCCAGGGACCAGCAGGGCCCGGTCAGGGCCACAGAGCTGTGAGAAGCAGCCTGGAGTGAATTCCGAGGCCAACAGGAAGCCTTGGAGCCAAGTCCTCACATTTCTTCTCTGGCTCCTGTGAGCACAGACCAAAGTCAAGGTCAAGGTGGGGGTGGGGAGCTCATGAGGCCCCTCGCCCACATTCCACACAAGAACAGTGACCAGCACCCAGGGCTTATGAGGCTCAGGGGTGGTTCCTAAAGACCACAGGGTTCACCTAGAGGCCGCTGAACATCCAGGTGGCTGCGGTTTTAGGTAATTTTTAAACTAAGCTGGTTAAAAGTAATGGTTCACCGAGACCAGTCTGAACAGGGGAGCCAGGTAACACTGGCTGGCACAGCAATCAGAAAGGAGGACCCAGGCCTCGCCTCAGGGGCCACGTGTCTGCACTCCAGACCCCACAGGAGGCAGCCATGCCACAGCCAAATGGGGTGCCATGGCCATGAGGAAGCCACTGCTATTACCCCCATTTTCCAGATGAGGAAACTGAGGCACAGAGCTGGAAGTCACTTGCCTGAGTCCCTGGCCAGGAAAGGGTGGCAGTCTGACTCTAGTTTGGTCACCAAGAGTCCCACAATGTGCCCATTGCCCCCACTCCTGTTGGTAGGGCATCCTACCTCCCACCCACCTGACCCAGCCTGGGCACCTCTGCTATTTAGTGCCTGGCCTGGAGGTCACTTGAGACTCCCCCCACACACACTCACTCTCTTTCATACACACACACACACACCTGCCACTGCCTGGGCCAGGCCCCATCACCCCTTGCCTGGTGCCACACCAATCTCTCTATCTCTCCCTGTCCCCTCCACCCCGTCTACGTTCCCTCCTGAACACAGCAGCCTGGAAGCTGAGCTGGTCTCTCCCCAATCTGAGGGCCACCCAATGAGGGAAGCTATGAACTGGGAGACACAGGAGGGGTCACATCCATGTGGGAGTCCCCCTACGTCCCCCATCCAGCCCTACAGGATCCACCTATGTGTTCACCTCCACCAGGGATGCCAACTCATCCCGTGGCCCCCACCACTCTGACACCTGCTCCTGCCACCTCCAGGGTGCCCTGCCTTGGCATTGGTCCCTCACGTCCTTTCCCACCAGCAACCACAGGGATTTGGTCAAGATACACCTCAACCTAAGGCCAAATGTCTCAAAAGTGGGCTTAAGGCTGGGCTTTAAAGACGACACCCCCGTGTGCCTTCAGGCAAGTAGTCAGGGAAGCCCCAGCCCCCGGCTCTGTAAGCTGGGAATGTTAGCAATAGATTTAATCTTCGGGCCCTGAGCAGGTGTTCCTGTGCTTGGTGCCCCAGCCAGCAGAGGCTCTTCAAGGGCTCCTCTCCCCTCCACGTACTCAATAACGTGGTCCTCAGGGCAACCAGCAAGGCAGGTGCTATTCTCTTCACTGTCTGGAGCCAGGATTGGAACCTGGGCCGTCTCAGCTCCCCACCCCCCACCTGCCAGGGCAGTCTTTCCCAGGGCAGCCGGCAAGGGACCAGCAGGCTTGGCAGCATCACAGTGGAACTCATTAAAAATGTTGATTCTCACTACCGCTCCCCAACCCACTGAATGGAAACCAGAAACCCACGTGGGCCGGGCTGAGCTCCAAAGCTTCTGAAATCCCCTGTTCAGCCCCGCCCCTTCCTCACAAAGCTGATTGGACACAGGAACCCAGAGGAGCAGCGGACTGGCCTATGGCAAGGCAGAGCTCACAAAGAGGAGGCGCTGGGCCAATCGGCTGCTGTCTCTCCTTGGAGCCACGCCCACCCATGGGGTAGGTGGAGCCAGCGGATGGAGGTGGCAAGGCTGGGCGGGGCGCGACTGAGGTGAGATCTTCCTGGGTGCAGATCCCAGATCTGCGGCCCCACTGGAAACGCAGGTGACCTGGCTAAGCCTCAGTTTCCCTTTCCAAGGAGGCCTGAGGGGCTGTTGATCTGGGATACACACCGGCCTCATGTCAGCCTTGTGTGGGAAGATCAGAAATAAACCGAGGCCAGGGAGGGAGAGAACAGGATACGATCCACATGGGGGTCATTCTGTATTCAATCAGCTGGGCCTCTACCAGCCATGTCTGATTAAATCTTTTAAATCAATGTTTGATTAAAAAGACGGTGGGAAGGCTGCTCTTATGAAAAGAGAAGGTGGCATGACAAACGAGTGTAGTGTGAGATGGATCAGAGCAGCTACAAAACCGGACAGATCTCTGGGGGACAAGTGGCAACTCATGGAGCAGACACTGGGACTCAGACAACATGCAGGAATGACTCCTGTTTGCAGGCATGTTTCTGTGACAATATAGGATAGTATCCTTTATTATACACGGAGGTGCACTGAAGCACTAAGACATGTCACCATGTCTGCTACTGAATTTGAAAAGGTTCAGCAAAAACATGTTATCTATGACAAAATATGGCGCCTGTCACCCTGGTCACAGTTGAGGGCTTGCAGCGTGGGTGTGTGAGTGTTCTCTGAGCTGTTTTTCAACTTCCCTCTGCACGTAGAACATGAAAATGCAAACCCAAACCACAGCCCAGAACCCAAGTTCCACCCTCAGCCCCAGCTCCTCCTGGACACCAAGTCCACGTTCATTTCCAGCTGCAGCTGTGGCCCGCCTACTGTACCTGTTTTTGAGAAGATGAGCTGCAGAATGAGAGGCCGCCGGGTGACAATTCCTGAACCACGGGGAAGGAAGTCCCTGTGAGGGGGGAAAGGGACAGAAATTACTCACGCGTCCGGCTCGAGGGGCAGGAAGTGTGACCACACGTGGTGCAGAAACTCAGTCTTGCAATTTGGGTGACCTCAGCAAAGACACCAACCCTGGCAGGGCCCTGGGGAACGCTCCACACTTGGAGGGCCATGAGGCCTAGCGCGTTGGGGAAGATCTGAATTGATGATCACGTCCAATCACACTATTTCCCTCTGGCGGGCTGTGCCCCACCCCAAAACTCCCAGGGGACACTTTCCTTGACAAAGCTTGGACAACTCCCCCATACTCAACAGGGAAATACATTTCCTACAGGTACAAAATCAATATAGGCCGGGCGCGGTGGCTCACGCCTGTAATCCTAGCTCTCTGGGAGGCCAAGGCGGGTGGATCGTTGGAGCTCAGAAGTTCAAGACCAGCCTGAGCAAGAGCGAGACCCCGTCTCTACTAAAAATAAAATTTAAAAAAAGTTAATTGGCCAACTGAAAATGGAAAAAAAATAAAGGAATAAAAAAAATTAAAAAAAAATAATAAAACAAAATCAATATAATGTCATATGTGTGATATAAAGGTAAAATCAAAGTAGTTGATGACAACATGTGATATGTTTCATGTCCAGAGAAGACACATCGACAGTGGCAGAAGGAAGACAAGAACTGATGGCAGACAGAGGGCAGAGAGCTTTCTGGGGTGACCGAAATGTTCTAAAACTGGACTATGGTGATATCTTCTAAAATTTACTATAAATTTACTAAAATTCACTTATTTCGAAATGGGTGAATTTCATAGTATGTAAATAACTGCTCAATAGAGGTGTTCAGGAAAAATATAACATCCTATGCAAGGCTGAGTGCAGTGGCACGTGCCTGTAGCCCCAGCCACTAGGGAGGCTTAGGTGGGAGGATTTCTTGAGCCCGGTAGTTCAAATCTACCCTGGTCAACACAGCGAAACTTCATTTCTAAAAATAAAAAAATGCTACATATTTCACAATGGAGGTTCTCGGGCACAACCAGCCTAGAAGACGTAAGGAAGTAGCCCTGCCCCCACTGAACGGTGAATGTGCCTGTATTCCACCAAGCGGGAAAACCACAGGCCGCCCTGTACCATGCGAAAGGAAAGCGAACATGTCCAGCTGGGTACTGGAGCAGGACCGGCATGCTCGGCGTAATTACCGCCTCACAAGGGACACTGTTGTTTCATATAAAATGGCAAAAGGCTCAGTGAATTTCAAACAGAGTTTGTACCTTAGATGGATGCTGGAAGGACAGACGAGTATTGGGCAGATGTGTCCCCCACACAGCAAGCCAGACAGCATGACAGGTCCCCAAGCAAGTGCCATTGGCACTACTGCCCTCCTTAGTGTCCCGGAGCGTCCTGGGGAGACGCTGCTTCCCGGGGACTGTACTAAGCAGCGGGCAGAGCGAGGGTGCAGATGGCCTCCTGCCACGCACCCTGCACCATGGGGGTCCGGTCCCATCAGCTGCTTCTGTGGCACGCCCTCTGGCTGGGTGCGGGGACGGGGCAGTGACCACACCACAGGTCTCGAGGTACTTGTGGCCTAGCCCGCGTGACAAGGGGATCTTGATGGGCAACAGGACTCTGCGGGCCCCCACCGGGGCACTGAAGTTCTAGAAGCAGCCTGGAGTGGACAGGCCGGGGGGTGGGGTGGGGTGGAGCTGGGGATCATATGAGGTGGCTAGTCATCATGTGTAGAGCAAGGCCACTAGATGGGATTTAGGGACAGCCAGATTATAGCAAATGTAGGCTTCTCAAACATGCCTCTGGCTGCTGCAGGGGTGAGGGTAGGAGCTGAGAGGCAGGCAGGGGTGACAGCGCTGGTTTAGGTGGGTGATGACGGGGGGATACCAGGGGATGGCAGGTAGGGACGTGGAAGGCCTGGGGAGGTTCAGGAGGTGACAGCAGTGACCTGGGCACAGGCTGGATGGAAAGCCTGCTAGGGTAGGGGATCGGGGGAGGGGAGGAGACACCCTGAGGCCATCAGAGAACGTCTAGGGGGCAAAGCCCCGCCTCTCTGCAGCCCCAGGCGGCACAGTCAACTCTCCAGTCCCAGGATGCTACCTGTCCCAAAACTGTGTTCCCGAGGATGACAAAGAGCATGAGGGCGCCACCTGCCCCACGCCAAGCACGTGACACCGTGTGCCCCAACACCCTGAGCTGTGCTCTCCTCCCGTCACCCTCCCATGTGGCCAATGAGGAGACTGAGGCACGAAGAGGACACATGATGTGGCCAAGCCACACACTCCAGGTCCCCCCAAGAGGGGGTGCACTTTTATCCCAGCCTCCTGAGCACCTGGGAGGCGTGGGGACAGTGGCGCCGACATTCTAAGGGCGTGGGTGCTGGGAGCAGTCAGGAAGAGTTCTCTGAAAAGGTGGGATGGGGCAGCGAGCCACGTGGAATCAGGAGGCCACGTGGGGTCACAGACCCCAGAATTGGCTTGTCATCCCGGCCCTTGTCAGAGGGGACATCCCTGACTCCCCTTCACAGAGGACGTTGTGGACACCAGGCTCTTCTCCTGGGGCTCTTAACCTTGCGAGCACCACGCACAGCCCCGGCCCTGACCCTGCGGGAGCCCCAGGCCACCGGGCTCACTGCAGGTTCCTGAGAGGGACATCTGGCGCATTAGGGATGCGGTGTCTCAGAAGCCATGGGCACCAGCCTGTGACACGGACTCACCAGCAGCAGTAGCAGCGACAGCGCATGTTCTTTACAAGAACACCACCACTCCGCCCCTTAGATGAGTTTTTTTTTGGAGACAGGGTCTGGCTGTCACCCAGGCCAGAGTGCAGCAGTGTCGTCATAGCTCACTGAAATCTCAAACTCCTGAGCTCAAGCGAGCCTCCTGTCTCAGCCTCCTGATAGCTGGGACTACAGGTGACCGCCACCACACCCAGCCAGACTCACAGGAGCCGCAGGTAAACAGAACTACGAGCCGCCTCCCTGTGTAGGCCCTCCACGCTGTCGCTGTGTCTGAAGTTCATTACTTTGCATGACAGCATCGTGTCCCATTGCGTAGATTGCCCATGGTCTAATTCACCCATTCACCATGGACATCTGGGGTCTTGCCTGCTTGGGGACATTATAAATAAAGCTGCTCTGAATGTTCCCATATATGTCTTTCATAGACCTATGACCTTGTTTCTCTTGTTGTGTCACTGTGTGGACTTGAAGTTGAACCAGCAAGACTAGTCTCTGGTGATAGAAATCAGAACAGTGGTTCCCTTTTGGGAAACTGGAAGGGCCAGGAAGGAACTTTCTAGCAGAAAGACCGAGTTCTATCTATTGATCTGACCAGTGGCTACGAGGACACAGAATTTAGAAAAATCAAGATACACACTTAAGATTTATGCAATTTACCATATCTAAGTAAAATCTCAGAGAAAGGTCACAGATATAAATAAGTCCAAGAGGACGTGCCCACAGAGCTGGGCGCAGTGGCTCACACCTGCAGTCCCAGCTACTTGGAAGGCTGAGGCCGGAGGATCGCTTGAGGCCAGGAGTTCGAGACCAGCCTGGGCAATAGTGAGACACCATCTCTACAAAAAACTTTAAAAATTAGCCAAGCATGGTGGCGCGCACCTGAAGTCACAGCTACTTGGAAGGCTGAAGCAGGAGGATCGCTTGAGCCCAGGAGTTCGAGGCCGCAGTGAGCTATGACCACACTATTGCACTCCAGTCCGGGCGACAGAGCAAGACCCCATCTCTGATGACCATAAAAATTTGCCCATGGAATGGTTACAATCTTGTTTCCCAATAAGAAGAAAAATTCAGATCTTAAAGAATTTTAAAGCCCAGCAAGGGGGGAATAGTTAAATATAAAGTATGGACCACCTGTGCCACTGCAGCTATACACACAAAAGAGCCTGGCATCTCTGGATGTGGAACTCCCTTCTGGGTACACGAAGTGAGGGGGAAAAAATGGTTTGAGTTGATCAGTTTCACTATTTAAAAAAATAAATAATAAGAAGAAAACAAAGAAAAGGTACATTAGAATGCCTGTGTTTTGCTACTAAGAAAACCAAAAAGAAACAAATTAGAGCCCCCAACTGTGGCCGGATTGGGAGGGAGTCACTGCATGTTCTAGAACATCTTTGAGCTTTGTATTATGCACATGTGTTACTGATTCCCAAAAACTACAATACCACTTTTAAAAAATAAAGTCACCGGCCAGGCGCAGTGGCTCACGCCTGTAATCCTAGCACTCTGGGAGGCCGAGGTGGGCAAATTGCTCAAGGTCAGGAGTTCGAAACCAGCCTGAGCAAGAGCAAGACCCCGTCTCTACTATAAATAGAAAGAAATTAATTGGCCAACTAATATATATAGAAAAAATGAGCCGGGCATGGTGGCGCATGCCTGTAGTCCCAGCTACTCAGGAGGCTGAGGCAGGAGGATCGCTTGAGCCCAGGAGTTTGAGGTTGCTGTGAGCTGGGCTGACGCCACGGCACTCACTCTAGCCTGGACAACAAAGTGAGACTCTGTCTCAAAAATTTAAAAAAAAATAAAGTCACCAATAGCTCTTGAACGATCACAATATGCCAAGCATGGAATTGAGAATGTTCCATGGATTGAGCCATTGAAGCATGACGAGATCCAACGGGATAGTCTGCTGGCTCCACTTTACAGACGTGACAGAGGCGCAGAGGCTGGGTGCCCGCCCGAGGTCGCATGTCATCCAGGAGGGCTGGGAACATGGACTGACGCCCACGGGGTCTTAGCGCCGACCACCAGGCCACGTCGGAAGCGGAAGGCCCAGCGACCTTCCCGGCCAGGGCCAGGCTGGGAGCCGCTGGTGTTCGCGTGTGCTGTCCTGTGACTGTGCTTTGGGCGTGTCTTGCTGAGGTGCCAGGCACTGTGAGGACAACAGTGACGCCCCAGATGCCACCAGCATCCAGCACAGACAAGGGACAATCAGAGCCTCGGAAGAACCCGAGGCGTGTGTGAGGTCCAAGGTGAACGCAGAGAGCTCGGGCA